GTCAGCGCGGCGCCGCAGCTGGCGAGCGTGCCTACGAGGCAGGAGAGCAGCCGCGGCCAGCCGACCGTCATGAGACGGCTCCAGTATGCGGGCAGCAGCGCGTTGGCGTCGCGGTAGGTGTTGCGCAGGGTGAGCGGCCGCAGGAAGAGCTCCTGGTCCCAGCCGTACAGCAGCGTGCCGGTGGTGGTGAGGGCCGGGGCGAGGAGGAGGGCCGTTTTGGTGGCGCACATGGTTTCGTTGTTTGTAGATGGATTTTACGTCTTGTAGATGCAGTGTGTGACGTGTGTCGCTTTGGATTGTGTTTTTCGCGCCCGAGTCGTGTCGTCGTTTGAAAGTAAAAGTCGTTGTTTGTAGTTATTGTCTGCGTTTGTAGGTTTTGCAGAGAAGCGGAAAACAGAAAAAGAGGCTTCTGGCAGCTGCAGGCTTGTGATGATGCTGGACCCTGAAACGTTGCGGATTTTTTTTCTCTCGGGACCTAGCACCGAAACAGCGACACCCGTCCGTCTTATATCTTTATCCCTTCAATCTTTTCAAACAGGTTAAAAAAAATTAATCCACCGCCCCTCTTCATGCTGCACCCTGTTTTCATTTTTAAACTTCGATATGCTACATTCGGCACCACCCGGTCGAGCACTTATCGCACTGCCTAGCGGATCCCTCTGACTCAATCCGCCCATGCAACCCATGTAACATGCCACCTTTGCGGACATTATACGCCAAGACGATGATAACGGATTTTTTTTTTTTTTATCTGCCTCTTGATTTGACATCATGTCTTCTCAGACATGGGTAGCTTATCTCTGGAAATGTTACGGATATAAACAAGCCAGATTCTTCCTAGGCACATCACATCAAACTGCGGCTAGCCAGGCACGTTTTCGCTCAGAGAGCCCAACGTCCAAGCCTCCTGGACACTACAACGGTCTATATGACAACTTTTCTAGAATAGTAATTATTTAACCTATCAGCACGTGCACATCGTCACAACCCTCCCTCGAAATCGCCCCATGAGAATCAGGCTCCGCCGTTTGGCACAAAGCTCCGCCATCTTGAGCTGACCGAGCCCGCCCGATTGTCCGCAGGCGGTCCACACAGATAGATACGCGCCGCGACGCAAGGGCAGCACAGGACTGGCTCAGTGGCCTGATGCTTGCAGCCAGTGTAGACGAATGGTATATCAAAGCAGACAAGCAAAGAAGTGCGGCGTTTAGGCACTGGTTTAGCTTCGCGTCGATTCGTTTTCTTTGAACATGGTGATTAGATTCCATAGACCGGTACACGGTGTTGATCCATTGTTTATTTTGAGAATGATGATCAGTTTATATCTGCTGATACTATAAGCGAAGAGCAACCAGACGCCAGATGCATGCCTCTGCCAGCCAAGACAGAATAAAAAAAAGGCACCAAGCACAAGAGACACACGAAAAGAATTACAGTACTTCTCCGCATCTTCCATACAAGTCGATGCATTCTAGTCCTCATCCTCGTCGACCCGCGCCCGCTTCTTCCCTCTATCCTCCTCATCCTGTAGCCCATATCCCCTCTTCCCACTTCCACCACCACCACCACCACCACCGTCCTTCTTGTCCACCTCTGACAAAAACTTGTCCACGTTGAACGGATCTGCCGTGTCCTTCTCAAACTGCACCGGTCCCTCGCGCGCCTCCACCTCAGCCACGCCTTTAAACGTGCCCCTGCCGAGCGCATCCCCGAAGCGGCTCGCCTTTTGAATCTTGGCCATCTCCCGGTCCCCCGCCTCACCGTCATCGTCACCGTCATCCATGTTCGCCCGCGGCCGATAGATGCTGCTGATGGCGTCTTGCGCCGCAAACAGCGGCTTGTCGTAGCGGTTGTCCTCGTTGATTCCGCTGTCGAACCCGCTCGTCTGGTTGAACAGCCGCGAGTCGTACATGGTCTCCCGGGACTGCGTCGGTTTCGCGAGCCCAAGCTGAATCTTTTCCGAAATGTCGCGGTTCTGCTCCCGCGCCATGGCCTGCATCTGCCGCTCCGCGCCCATGTGGCTCTGCCGCAGCTTGCGCTCATTCTCTTTGCGCCGCTCCGCGCGCGCCTTGATGCGCGCCTGCTCACCCTCCGACTCGCTGCCGGAGCGCGAGCGCGAGGACCGCCGCGAGTCGTAGCTGGACGATCGTGACCGTGAGTCCCGGCTGTCTCGCGAATCCGCCGAGTCGCGCGAGTTGCGGCGCCCGCGGCTAGTGTTGGCGGCGTTGCGCTCCTCGCGGGCCTTTTGGGCAAGTAAACGCAGGTTGTCCTCTTTTTGCATCTTCTCCTTCTCCGCCAGACGTTGCTGCATGAGAGCACGCTGCTGCACCTCCTCACGTGCGTGACGCTCAGCCATCTTGACGGCTTCCGCGAATTGCGCATGCTTATCGTTTATCGTAATATCCTGTAGTCCTCGTCCGTCCGCTGCCAGACGCTTGTCCAGCGGCACCGTATAACCCTTGGGGTTCTTCCAATTGGACACCGGCGGCGGGATTCGCCACATCTCCTGGTCCTCTGCCGTGAGCTTTCTCGGGGGCGAGTGCATGACAGGCGGGGGAGGCGACGGCGGTCCTCGCGGAATCTTCTTATGTTTGAATTTCGGCGGCTCCATCGGATCGCGCTGTTTTTCCACAATCTTCATGATGCGGTCCTGCTTTTTCGAGTTGTCGCCCATTTGGCTGGCCGGTGTGTACCGCACAAATGTCGGGTCCGAGCGCTGTCCGGTATTGACATTCTTTGGTTTCTGCGCCGCCAAAGCACCGCTCACCAGCTTGGCGAGAGCATTCTTGGTCCGCTCCGCCGTCGCCGCCACGGCCTCCTGGTCCGGCCGCGACAGGTCAATCTCGCCCGCGTCGGCGCGTTGCCGCAGCGGAATCAGGTCCTTGAACGAAGTGTGTATAATGCGGCCCTCGCCGTGACCCTGCCGCGCAATCGCGTCATACTTGACCTTGCCCTCGGCGTCGACCTGGATCGCCAGCGCGTTGCTTGTCGTGGAGCCCTTCCTGCCCATGTCCAGCGGATACTGTGCGACCGGCACCTCGGGAAAAGCGCCGCCGTCGCCAAAGTCTTCCTGAGAGCGTGGTCGCCATCCTGAGCGCTGGCCGTACGGCGGCGGGCCGGAGCGCTTGAGCACCACCTGCGTCTCATCAATCTGGCCAGCGCTCACGATCCGAGGACCGCGCTGCTTGGCGTGCGACGGGGCTTCTTCGTCCTCGCCCGTGTATTTCGGCTTCGGCAGCGAAGTCTGCAGTGATGCGGCGATAGACGCCATGGTGTCGAGCTGATTCGTGTTTTCGCCTGCGAGTTTGGGATGCAAAGCTGGAGCGTGTTGCGTGCAGGTCCGCCGGGTCAAAGAATTTCAGAGTCAGTTGTCCCAAAGCGGTTAGCGCAGGTTACAGTTCAATCCACTGTACGATGCGCGCATCTGTAGCTAGCTTGCAGGGACCTGCCAGTGTGTTGCATGTTATTATTGTTATTATCGGAGCGAATCATTGTCAAAAAGCATTTCAAGTTAGTTTAGAATAGGAGAAGATTGGCCTCATATAATCCATTACTCTTAACTATGTCACACGAACCATGTCGAACGACAAGACGCATCTAGCCACCTTTTATCATACAGGCCATTCCCGGCAAACTGAATTTTCGAAACCCACGCCTCCAATGTATAACATAAATTGCAGATTCATATATATGCGTTTCGATCAAACGTAACCCTTGCGAGCGCCCTGAGAATGGTCAGCACATGGCAGCGCCTAGGCTGCATCGGCGTTCAGCTTACCTGGAAGAAGAATCTAACGACAAACACTTGCAGGCCACCCATGCAGACGACGAGGAACGACTGAATCATGCTAAAGTTGACGATGCGATTCTCGGTGCTCGCGACGGTCGCAAAGTTGCGGTTTTCACGCGTGCGAAAGTACTTTTGATTTCGCGAGATGGTAGACAGCTGGCCGGAGATCTTGTAGACTGAGTCCTCGATGATGTTGGTCTGCTCAGGGCTAGATCCTTGCTTGGAGGGGAGCTGCGCGCGATCCTCGTTCTCGACCTGCGTGCCAATTGTCAGCTCTGCATCCCCATGTTCATCATTGCGCGTTGCTGGGCACTCACAGCAATTTCAAGGTCGACAAACTTCTCGGCAAATGTGCTCATCTGATTGCTGAAGCAGAATGAGTAGTCGCCAGGCGTTTGTGCGGTAAACGCAAAGTCACCCTGACGCTCCTTTTCGCCAGACATGATGACCTTGTTGGTAGGGGACGTGACCTCATAATCAATGTCGAACGAACCGCCGGATTGGACCTGTCCATCGCATTAGCAACACTCTCGCCCCGGCATTCGATGCCTTCCATTCAGCCCGGAGATCGTACAGCAAAGTAGAAAGCAATCTTCTCGTTGGGATTTTTCGTGTTGGCATAGAAGCAAGCTCGCTCGTGAGCCTCAACCCGGTATGTGAGGGATGTGGCAATGGCCTCGGAGCTGAACAGGGCGACGGCACCCGCCAGAAGCGTCGAAATCTTCATCGTGCAATGCGGCTGGCGTTGCGATGTGAATGTCGCAAGGCTGGTATATGGATGGGTCGAGCTGCAACTCTCAGGACAAGCTGGCTCCAGGGGTCGCGTGGGTTTTCGGCGTGTTCGCCTGTCGAGTTGGCCACAGGGTGAACCTCGGGCGCCACGCGCGGCCCCACTTGGCTCCTTCTCAGGGGCGATGCGATCTACAAGTAATTGTCAAGGACTTGTTTATTTATTTATTATGATTGAAAGGCTTACGGTCACTAGAAAGACGTCAGGCTGCGAATTTGTCGTTGACTTTGCCCGAAAATTCACTCGCTTTCTGTTGCATATGGCTCGGGAGTCGCCAAGAAATCTGAGATCTATCTACCGCGACTTGTTATCCTAACAACGCTGATCTGAACAGACAAACAAATTTGGCGACTGGCAAGGAAACTACCTACAAAATTGATATCAACTCTTCATTATCAATTTTCGATGAATGGTTCCCAATGGCTTCCCATTTTGCACTGCGACTTGGCTTGTAAAGATAATGTCTAGCATCACTTGCTCCGCTAGACCGCCTCGCCGTATTCTGGCAATGTGCGATTGAACGCCTAACCCATTCAACAATTGCAACTCTAGCATTGAAACGCTGGGCTGTAAGCGAGATATGCACTTCGACACCACCACTAAGAATGGCAACCCTCAACTCCATATTACCACGTCCCTGGACTGTGATTCAGTTCACATTCTCGAATCTGGATGCTGACGCCGAGCTAGTCGCGATGTGCAACCATGTGCGATTTGTTGTACACGTTACGGAGACTGGCTTGGCTTCGTCACCCTGCCTTCAAGAAAAATTCCTCTTCTTTCTCAGCGTGGCCGAAAATGACGAACTTGATGGCTGTACGGTTGACGACTTCTACGACTGGGCGCTTGAACCTCTGCTCCCTGTGCTCTGCGAGCAGACTTATGAATCGAAGGTTGGGACAGCAACGCTTCACGATTTCATATATGCTCCGACACTAGAATACTCGCTAGAGGCCGAGTCAGACAAGCTAGTCTTACGACCACAAAAGGAACATGCTGAGACGCGATTGATGTTTGGCGTTTCCCTGCCGGACAAATGGCATCTGTGGCCATGCTACTTGCCGTCTGAGATCAAACTCGACGAGGAGACTGCCTACGACTCTACTCCTCGCAAAGTTATCCTACCCGACAACACTGCAGCTTTTTTCAAGCTCATGGGCCGCGGAGAGAAGCGCATCCTCGAAAGTGAGCTTCTCAACTATGAAAGAATTCGGACCTCCCGGCTGTCAACCTCGGTCCGTATATCTCGTCTTCTTGGGCTGGTCCGCGACGACAGTGACACTGTATTTGGTCTGCTTCTTACGCACATTGACTGTAAAAATGAGACTCTGACTTGCGCAATTGAGTCTGGTGCACCGGAATCTACACGGCGACGATGGATAGCAGAGATAACACAAATCGTCCATTGCTTACATCAAGATAGTCTAGTGTGGGGTGACGCGAAACCAGACAACGTCCTCATCGATGGAAATCAACATGCTTGGATCATTGACTTTGGTGGTAGATACTCGAGAGGCTGGGTTCCAAAAGACCTGGCCGGCACCGCGAATGGTGATCTCGTGGCCCTTGCAAAGATAGTGGATTATGTCGAACGGGGGCCAGAATTTTCATTGTGAATGAGCTATTTCTGACACAAGTTACTAGTACGCAGTTCTCGTGCGCAGTGCTGGGCCATAGTTCGTATCGCCGATCTGAAGAGCCCTCTGCTGAGCCCGGTTCAGCCACTTCCTTCACTTCATGGTAGTTGTAGCTGTCGTCTCGAGGCTGCCTTCTATCTCAACTTATCGCTTCTCCTTCCAACAAATGTTAGGTTCGTGTCTTAACCCACAAGTCAATAAGGCCCGACGAAAGTGTCGGCGAAGGCAAGTGTGAGTAGGCTTGTGACCGAAATTCAGAGCTTAAGTGTAGCTGACATATCAGTAGGTTGCAAAATCCCTGGGGGTCCGCCGCGTAGCTTTGCCGGCTGCAGATTTAAAGTGTTCTACTTCTTCATAAGTTCTACACTGGGCTTCTGTGTAGAAAAACCGCCCTTGGTGAAATATATCCTGCAGGAAGCAGGCGCGCGCGAAAGCTTGTATGCATTAGAGGGATGGGTGGCCGCTAGGATGGGAATCTGAATCAAGTTGCTTAACTGCTCGGTGAAGGCAAGCACCCCCATGCTTCGCTCTTATTTAGATGGCACGCAACCGATGCTACATATGGCCCGTTTCTAGCGGCAGCCAGCCAACGGTATAGTATCTCTTCAGCGTGGACGCACATGAAAGCTTGTGCCAGTCAAACCAAAGATTGAAGCCTCTGGGCTATGCTGATTAGAAAATAGTGGGGTTGGATTTTGAAAAGTTGGGTGCAGGGAGAAGGTCGAAAGTTCATCCGTGACTGCCACCGGCGCTGTTCAAGTATCTTGACGAGGCCCCCTTGCACAAACAACTGCCGAGGATACGCGGTCCTCCTCCTTGAGGGTGGATAGCATAATACGTCAGCAACGAGAAAAGTCGTCAGGGGATATTAGACGAGAATTCTTTATACGAATGTAACAAGAGTACGGTGTACTACCTGGTGACCCGGGCCGTCTGCCTGGAGATGGATGTGTGACGTTGATCTCCATACCACCCGAGAAGTCGAGCGGTAGTGCCACACATTGAAATCTGCGTTTGTACCAGATATGCTTATCATTGTAAGTGATAGCTGAATATAAAGCTGCGTGTCTGCGTGGCCGTCATGCGCGTCGTCCGGGAGGCCGTCGACGGCGGGGCCGTTGACAACGGAACCGGCGGACTACTCGCCGGCGTTCTCTTTTTAGATTTTCGCAATGCTTGCATGATAACTGCTCCGAGGACTAGGGAGTAGACCGTTGGTGATTTTCCACCAATATGTGCTATTTTATTGGCCGTGGGTACGGCTGTAAGCGACTCATGTATAGGGCTTCGCAGAGCAATTACTGAGTAATTATCATTTGTTTAGTGCACCCAGCCTCATCCCCGTCACGATTCACGACGGATGGGGCTGGTGGGAGGAGCGAAATGAACTCTATGGAGACCTATATGCCACTCTCAATATTTTATATGAGTAAGCTGCAGCTGCCCCTATCTATCATGTATCACATCCGTGGGCAGCGGAGTTGATCAGTAGACAATGTTCGACCTGCGACAAGAAGTACTTCCCCGATGAAGCAACCTTGAATGTTGACCTCACAGGCAACGCCGATAATTACATCTGTGTTCTTCTTTGCCAGACGCGCCTGAGCGAGTCGATAATGCGGGATACCCATGGTCGATATGGGTGCTGGGGTAGGGCCAGGCAACGCGGCGGCACTTCTGAAAAGTTCCAAACGCACAAGCCGCCCAAATTTACACGTGTATTTCAAAGATTGTTCTCTCAAACGTCCTTGTTCAGACTTGATAAACCCTCTACCATTGCTGCAGCGGTGTCCTCTGCTGTGATGCCTCGCTTTCTATTCCCAATCTTCTCCTGACCGAGCACAGTGTCATCTGCGACAGACCGATACACACCCGCGGCCCCGATAAAGAGCTCGGGGCCGAACCCTCCCTCCTCAACGTGCGTTTTACTAATTTCCTCCATCTCACGCACCCACCGGTAGGCCTTGGGTGCCATGGAGACGAGGCCCCTCTCAGTCTCCACCGCGCGCTGCGGCGCCATTTCCGCCAGCACACTCTGGAGCTCCCCAAGGACGCCCATGGACTGGGCGCTCGTGAATGCCTGGATGGCGATGGCGGTGTAGCCCTTGCTCATCGACGCAAAACACATTTTCAAGCCGCTCGCCGCGCCAACGTCCTCTGCAATGTGGCGTATGCGAAGCACCTCGGTCAACCTCAGGCCCCAGCCGGGAACGTCCTCGAGCCGGTGTGGCCCGGACGTGTACATGACCGGCGCGCTCCAGTCGGTGCCATTTCCTTTTGCGGACGGCGGGCCCCCAATGATGGACCCGTCGACAAAATGCACAAGGGGCCCTGCAGAGTCGAGGAGGCTCGCAAGCCCCCGGGTCGTAGAAGGTGCGACGGCGTTCAAGTCGGCGTAGTAGAGCGGCACAGAACTTGTTCTTTTGCCACGAGTCGAGCTCGATGCAAGGGCACTGACAATGCGTTTTGCAATTTCAGTCGCGTCGCGAGGCGGCGCCACGGATAGAATGGCATCACAATGACTTACGAGCTCCTCATCTGTGGGATAATTTGTCACCAACGCCGCCTGGGCCCTATTGAGAGTGTCTTGGCTGTTGGAGCATGTTAGCCTTGGCACTGGGCCAGCTGTATGAATAATAGAAAGTGGCTCCAGATCGCTTGCGTAACTAGTATGAGCTCGTATGGTAGAAGAGAGCTCTATGAGAAAAAAGAAAAAAAAAACAACTTGAGCAATTTGGCATCCTTGCTTCATATGTGATTCGGTTGAGCCGGCTGCACGACTTCTTACCTTCTCCCATGGCAGTTGGTCGCCACCGCAAAGCCGTGAGCGAGCAGCAGCTTGGCTATACCAAGGCCCATGTCTCCGATAGACAGTATGCCAATTGTGGCAAGTGCCGAGGTTGCAGCGGACATTATGGTTGAAAGAACCCTTAATAATTGAACGTGGTGGCTGCAGACTGCAGTGCGACTCCAGGTGGCTGCAGCGGAATACCGATGGCTGGCTGCCAAATTTTAACGTGATATATAATGATGAAACAGCTGACTTTGAGGACCGGCAATCGTATATGACGCCAAAGATGTAACAGCCATAGCGCTAAAAGTCATCTGGCCATAATGATTGGGCCGCCTGTATTGGCCATGTGACAGCTACAATAAATTGCCTGGCACGCTCAATTATTTTCCGATTCATTGACGGAAACCCATCATGCGATGCGATGGCTTCCGCACTTGCAAAATTTTCAATCAGCATTTGGATTTTATAATGGCTGACGATAACCCGGCTGTAATAGCATCTATATCCGCCGCGTTATTGCCCAGGACAAGGGCTAACCATAATCTCGGCTCTCGATGACGGGGTGCTTTCCGCCAAGTTGATTGGAGTTTGGGAGTGAACCTGGCCTGGGCATTCCGTCACGCTTTCGGAAGTGCTTTATCATTATAAATATCTTCCATGTGAGCGAGCAAGGGTTCGCAGAGCATTGTGGAAACCCGGAGAGCACTTGCGGAGCAGCCGGTAAGTCTTTGTCAAGGAACGGGCCCAAGCGGCGATAAAAACAGTAACAAGCGAGCCCGGTTTGACACGAGCTCGTGCCATTTTGACAGCCATCAAAGAGCCGTTGAAAAAAACCCGAGTACGTCGAGGTGGAGAAGGCCGCTTAGCCTCTACATGGCCTGATGAAAATCGTATGAGGTTAGAAAATTTCGAGCAAATCCGGAGACGGGCCGTGATGGAGCCCTGTCTTTACCTTGGCCGGCTCTCCACGTGAACTTTATAGTTTGGATGGACAGCACGGGGTGATTCGATATATAGGACTATACTGGCTCGCTTCTCGATATACCAAAGATTGATTGCCAGAGATGCGATTTTGAGTGGACAAAACCCCAGCAATTACTTTCCACTTTCCTTTGGCCAATTCTGGATCGGTTTCGCATCTCAGAGCAGCGGGACCTTTACAACTAGCACTGAGCCCGACAAACTAGCGAAGCCGGCCATGAAAGTAATCATTGCTGGCGCCGGCGTGGCAGGCCCGGCCATCGCCTTTTGGCTCGTCAAAGATGGTCACGAAGTCACACTGGTCGAACGGTTTCCCTCACTTCGAACTGCTGGTTTACAAGTCGATTTGCGCAACGAAGCGATTGAGGTGGTTCGCCGGATGGGTCTGCTACAAACCGTCCGTGACCGATCCGTGCCAGAGATGGGTACTATCATTGTCGACTCCAAGGGTCAGGAAGATATTGTGCAAAGGAAACTCCATACCGAGACGGAAAGTGGCGTGCAAGGAAAGACGAGCGCCTACGAAATTATGCGCCGCGATCTGATTGAAATTCTCTACGACGCAACAAAGGAAAACGTGACGTATCGTTTCGGGCTATCTGTCGACCACTATCGAAATATCGAGGGCGATGAGAATAATGAGGAAGGTCCCAAGACAGACAAGGTGGAGGTGACGCTCTCTGATGGTAGCAAAGAGATGTACGATCTCTTAATTGCGGCGGACGGACAGGGCTCGCGCATTCGCAAGCACATGTTCTTTTACAGACCAGAAGACGACCAGTCCCGATGGCTGGGCGTCTTTTCCGCCTACTTTACACTACCGCGAAGAGACTACGACACGAGCTTTTGCCGCATGTACCACGCGACGGAGCGGCGGCTGGCCATGACTCGCTGGCACAAGGAGGACCAGGGGCAGGTATACCTGATGGCGATGAGCAACACGGAGCGCTTCCGACGCGCGCTGGACCGGGACGTGGCCAGCCAAAAGGACGCCTTTGCGGCCGTGTTCAAGGGCATGGGGTGGCAGGAGGAGCGCATCCTGGCCGCGCTCACCGACGCCGAGGACTTTTACGCCGACGAGATGCTGCAGCGCCGGAGCACCGTCTGGTCGCACGGGCGCGTGGTGCTCCTCGGCGACTCGGCGTACTGCGCGTCGCCCATTGCGGGCGTCGGGTCCAGCATGGCGCTCATCGGCGCGTACGTGCTGGCCGGGGAGCTGGCGAGCCACGGCGAGCGGGACGTGGCGGCGGCGCTGGCGAGCTACGACGCGACCATGCGGCCGCTCGTCGACCAGAGCCAGCGCCTGCCCAAACGCTCGCTGCAGGCGTGGCTCCCGCTGTCGACGTGGTCCATCAAGCGCCTGCACGTCAAGGAATGGGTCCGCAGCAAGGGCCGCGGCGCGCAGCCGTGGGCGAAAAAGGTCCGCGACCAGCGCTGGCTGCTGCCCGACTACCCCGAGATGTGCTGGCGCTCGAGGTCCGCGGCCTGGGCGAGCCTGCCGTCGACGGCGCGGTCCTCGCTGACCGAGGACTCGCGCTCGAGGTCCTTTTGGTCGCCGGGCGCGTACAGCGCGACGTCGTCGGTGGGGGACGACATATGGCTGCCGTCATATGAGTTGCGAAAGGAAGAACGGACGGAGCGGCTTGATCGGGTTTCTGAAAAACCTGATTGGCCCTTGGCTACGATTCCGTCATGTTCGAATTGTTCAAATTGTTCCAAGCAGGTGGATGTTGCGTAGACTTTTTTTTTTTAAACTGCATATTTTTGATAGACTGTACACGGATTCCCGACTTTATTTTCCTTTGTTTTAGATATATTAAGAACTGTAGTAATGATAATTTGTTTACGTATTACCTTATGCATCGTAGTTTGTCTAACTAGCAGGCGGTTGCTAAGGAGCTAGAACTCGGCAGACTTGCAAAAGGCTCGAGCAAGATTGTTGATGAAACGATGTAATTGATAACCCACAGCTTATAGAATCAAATTTACTCTGGCTGTTCCTCTTTTGTTGTTATCGGCCATTAAGAGAGGATCAGCACATTTTTGCCCAACTTCATCACGAGGTGGCCTACACTAGCCACAAAGGTCGCGCCATCACAGCCACACCAATGACGACACCAGTAAGCAAGTTAATTGTTTGCGGCTTCTCAACTCCAACTACATCAACATCGAGCTTTTGCTGGCCATATACATGTCTCTGCGCAGATGATTCAATGACGGGAATTTCCATCTCACACACTTCACTTCTCGTCTCTCTCTGAATCACTTTTTGCCCCCAACTTCTCTCCATTCATCTGTCTCTGCCATTCTTCATCCAGCTCCTGGCTTCCGCTAGTCAACTATGGCGGTCCAAGCTACCGTTGCACAGATATCCTCGGTCGCGCTGAGGATATGCGCCATTATATTCTTTCGATTTGTAGGATCTCCCGCACTGATCTTTAATTACAGCTTCTTGTACATAAATTCGCTAACAATCGACTCAGTTTCCTGTACGCGTCCCAGTGATCAGATAGGGGGCGTTTGCGCTAACATCCAAAGGCTCATTTCCCGACCGTTGTCTTTGCTGCTTTTGCCATCTACCTTCCCGCCTTCTTGGCTACGTACCGAGCGGGCCCAGAACTGGAAGTCGTCGATGATAAGATTGACGTCGTTGTAAAAGAAACCACCATCACCCCCAGTGATGATAATGGCGCTTCGGCCGTTGTTGCCGACGAAGTTGATGTGGAGGAAAAGGTTCTCCTTCGTGAGAAGCCCGTCTCCAAGTGGAAAATATTGGCCTATGGCGCACCAAGCTCCAGCCATCAACTCTCCTCCATCCTAACTTTCCTCATCAATGGCATACTTGTTGCCCTTACTGCCGATGCCTTGTTTCGCGCTCGTATCCTTTACCCTGTCGACGATATTTCTTTCGTTCGACTGGGCTATATCTCCAATAGTGAAGCCAAGATGCTTCTCCGGGAGCCTGATCAGGCGAAAATGCCAGTCACCGTTGAGACTCGCATCGCGGATCCCCAGCCCCCGTTTGAAGACCCCATCTGGCGTTTGGCGGGCGGGCTTGAGTCAACAACAAGCGAGACTGACTTCACAGGCATTGTCAATATTCCTTTGAGTTCCAAACACACACGCTGGTACGAGTACCGGACCTCCAATAACCACACCGGACGCTTTCTTTCTGCTCCTCGGCCCGGCCAACTGTCTGACGAGACGGATGGCAAGTTCACTTTCTTGTCTACTTCGTGCATTTTGCCGCGTTTCCCGTACAACCCCCTGGACCACGCCTTAGCCATCCCTGGTCTGCGCCATCTCGCCGACAAGCTACCTAGCCTGGGTGCTCAATTCATGCTGTTCCTCGGCGACTTCATTTACATTGACGTGCCGAGCCGCTTTGGCAAGTCAATCGATGAGTACCGAATGCAATATCGTCAGGTCTATGCCTCGCCAGACTGGGCGCCTGTTGGCCAGAATCTGAGCTGGATTCATGTTCTTGACGATCACGAAATCTCGAACGATTGGGATGCCAACAACAGTGGGGTGTACCAGGCTGCGGTTCAGCCCTGGGCCACCTATCAGGCCAATGTCAACCCGCCCAAAGCTCTTCGCGCTGGTTCCAATAGTGCTCAGCGCCAAGGTGCCACTTGGTACACGTTTGCCCAAGGTCCGGCCAGCTTCTTCCTCATGGATACCCGCAGCTACCGCTCGCCTAACAAGGTACCCTTTGAAGACGAAGAGAAGACGATGCTCGGCGCTGAGCAGCTGGAGGACTTCCTCGCCTGGCTTGCACGCCCGGAACCACGCGGCATTCGGTGGAAGATTGTCGCTTCTTCTGTTCCTTTTACCAAGAACTGGCCCGTCAATGTCCGGGATACTTGGGGTGGCTTCCTTGTTGAGCGACGCAAGGTACTCGAGGCCATGTGGGATGCTGGTGCTCGCGGCTTGGGTGTCCTCATCCTTTCCGGCGATCGTCATGAATTTGCCGCCACCAAATTTCCTCCACCTGCGGATTCAAAATGGCCTGCTTCTGCTGCTGTGCACGAAATTTCCACCAGCCCTCTCAACCAATTTGCTTCGCCGTTTCCTACCTATCGGCAGACTGATGATGAGGACGTCGAGCTGAAGTGAGTTGTGCCATTCCCCAGAGCTAGCTGCTCTGCTGACATTTATAGGTATATCCCGTCTGGCTCTTCCAAGTTTGGAGCTTATACGATTGAGAATTTCGATGGCGAAAGCCTGCTCCAGTACCAGCTCTTTGTGGACGGCAAGGAGGCCTGGAACACTACACTCGTCGCTGCTAAACCTGCGGGCGGCACATCTAGATCTTTCTGGGATTTCCTCAAGTTCTAGGACTCATTGTCTTTTTCTCTATTGAGATTTGTATCCTGGCATGCATCACGCGGCGTTTGGTGTCTCCTCTTCTTGCTTTGAAGCCTAGATCTGTTGCTCGGGAGGTATTGCAGTCGACGCAAAGCCTGTTTCTATTATATTCAATCTTGAATCTTAGTTGATACTGATTTTGCTCAATCCTTGGCATGCACCACTATATTTTACAGCTGTGAATACCTTACTCCTTGTCGTGTCGGAGTGTACTTACATCCAGGCTTCCGGTTACGGTCCACCCACTTTAGCTCACCGCTCTGGGCAGCGCCCCACTATAAGAAAATATCCGGCAAAATCGACGACGCAGTAATTTTTTCTAGTCTAGGACTGCTGTAAAAGTCACTGGCGACTCATTACAGAAATTGCCATTTTCTACTATCGGCGGCGATTTCCATAAAGCAAAATGGCCGGTCCCTCTAACAAAAAGCGCCTCATGGGCAGCAAGTTTCAGAAACCCATGAAGCGGCAAAAGCGTGAACGACGTGTGCAAAAGGAATACCATAGCAGCACAGAGGACGAAGAAGAGGGCGAGGACCAGCAGCAAGACTTTGACGCCGTCAACCTGCTAGACTCGGACGACGATATTCACAATGCCAAGGCCGACGATATTGGCGCAGAGGAAGACGGCAGCGGCCTGTCAAGTTCGGAAGACGACGCCCCGTCGAAAAAGGCTGGTGCCGCCAAAGGCAGCGCAAAGCTCAAGGCTAAGATGCCCAAGAAGCTGGCCGCAAATGATGACAGCGCCCTTCAAGAGGGTCTACCCGAGGATGAAGACGATGATGACGACGAAGACGAAGACGAAGACATGAATGATGAATTCGACCTGGGTGACGACGACGATGATGAAGACGAAGACGGCTCCAGAAGACCCAAGAAGCGCAACGACCCAGCCGCGTTCGCCACATCGCTGTCCAAGATTCTGTCCACAAAATTGTCGTCCTCGAAACGCGCCGATCCAGTCCTCGCGCGCAGCGCGGCTGCGCACGAGACGTCCAGGGCGGTGCTGGACAGCGCGCTCGAGGCCAAAGCCAAGCGGGCGCTGCGGGAGCAAAAGCGCAAGGCGCAGGAAAAGGGCCGCGTGCGCGACGTGCTACTAGCCCCGGTGGCGGTGGCGGCGGCGCCGGCGGGACCTGGTCGGGAGGAAAAGCCCGAGATCACGACGGGAGAAATCCTGGCGGCCGAGGCCAAGCTGCGCAAGGTGGCGCAGAGGGGCGTGGTGAAGATGTTTAATGCGGTGCGCGCGGCGCAGGTCAAGTCGACAGAGGCGGAGCGGGCGACGCGGCAGGCGGGCGTGATTGGCATGGCGCGGAGGGAGGAAAAGGTGAATGAGATGAGCAAAAAGGGCTTCTTGGACTTGCTGGCGTCGGGAGGAAGCGCGCTGAACAAGAGCGCGAGCGCGATTGAGGAGGCGTAGGGGATGGACGGGTGAAAGATTGCATACTGTATATAATGGATCGTTTTTTTTTTTTTTTTGAGCCATGCGTTTACATACAATCTGGGAATGAATGGATATTAAATGTATGAGCGTTGATGGGCACGAATGTGCCAACACGTCACAGCATCGACTGACTTGTTAAGCTTGAAGAATAGGGAATCTCTTATATATGCGTTGCAGTGTCCCATATGTATGTGCCAATGTCATGCTATTGGTCCAGTCCACTTCCGCCTCCGTTCAACGACTATCCGTTACAATGTTGTACAAGGTGTGCGCCCGATGCATTAGAAATAATCATATATATAAACCCCGGCAAAGCAAATCAAGCCCATGAATCAATGGCTCTTTCATTTATTGCCCTTTTCTGCTTCCTCTCTCCACGCACTATTGAAAGTCGCTCGCTTGCAAGTTTCGCGTCATGGTCGGCAACTTGACGACGAGGCCGTCGAGGTCCTTTGTCATGACGACCTGGCAGCCGAGGCGGCTCGTCTCGGTAAGGCCAAACGCCAGGTCGAGCATGTCGTTCTCGTCGTCCTCGGGCTCGGGCATCTTGTCGTACAAGCCCTCGTCGGCGACGATGACGTGGCAGGTTGAGCAGGCGCAGGAGCCGCCGCACGCGCCCTCCATCTCGAGGTCGTGGGCCTGCGCAATGTCGAGCAGGTTGTCGCCCTCGGCGACGGCGAGCTTGTGCTCCTCGCCTTCCTTGTCGACAAAAGTCACGTAGAGTCTACGCGGGGGACAAGAGGGACAAGAGGTCAGCGGCGGGGAAGTCGTGGGGGGAGGGAAGGCGGGAGGGAAGGCGGGAGGGGGGGTGTGATATCGTGGATCGGGGAATCTGCATCTTCCCCGGAATATTCCCCCCCCCCCCCCCCAAAAAAACAGTAAAGGGAGATGGCAGGATACAGCGGAGAAAAAAACTCACTCTTCACCGGCTTTGGGCGTGTGGACGTGCCCGTGGCGCTGCACTCGCGTCGTCGTAAATGTGCGCATCGTCGTCGTCGTCGTCGTTGTCGTTGTTGGCGCTGCTGATATTCTCCAGCCCGACGTCGTCGCAGCGGGCCGGCTCGGCAGGTATGAGGAGGACTGAGGGATGGCGACGACGCGCACGGCGGCGCACGCAGGCATTCTTCGGCTCGTCGTCGCGGACAGCCGGGCGAAGCTGGTCGCGATTGTCCGTGAAGCCGACATTGGTACAACGGGTGGATTGGACAATGGTTCGTTGGGCGGGTGATGATGGATGGCGGGTTTTTTTTTTTTTGCAGCTGGTAAAGCTTTCTGGGTCACAACTGGACAGCTCAAGTCTATCTACCTACCCAGGAGCGTTTTTTTTCTCCCTTGTCGGCCTTGTTCAATTAGCGGCGCTGCGATTGGTTGTACTTGATAAAGCCTGCTGGACAATTAAAGTGGTGCCGTCTCTAGCCCGAGAAGCTCGATGTCCGAGGCTACGAATGCCCTGGTCCGGGGAGGGTGGAGATGATGCTGACGAAATGGGGTTTTTGATGTTATATTGAATCATTTTTAAAAAGAAAAAAAAAAATGCCCGTTTACTAATATCTTTTCATCTTTCTTTGTTCTCCAGTGTCAGTTCGTAAAGTTGCGACTGTTACCTGATGGCACCCAACTGTGGCTCCGCACCCACTGCACATGCAAAGGCGCGCGTGGGTTGTATTGACAAGTGCACTTATTTTTCTTTTTTCTTGTTCTTTTCGAAAAAGAGAAACCGAAGCCAGGAGTTGATTAAATCTATCAAATAAGAGACATCAAGAAGCTCGAATAGTCGCAACGTAGTTTTGCATGCGTGCCACAACGTCAAGATAACTCTTCAACACCCACCCATGATTGCATTGCTCAGAAATCGTCCATCACATCCTAATTCTAGTATACAATGTTGCTCTTTCACGCTTTGTCACTCATTTGAAAACAGAGTTTTGGCTTTAATTTTGTGCGATTGAGTAGTCTCCCACGTTGCTCTGCAACACGAGCATACTACCGAGGCGCCTTGGCTTGGCGTTGGCGAGCTAAGATCATTGCGGCATCTGATCAACCACATTGACATCGATTACCTTATTTCAAGCAAGGGTATAATAAAGTAGAATCTCCATCAGTTCTTCCCTTTGCCCTTCTCGGAAGTTGCAAAAAGGCTGGGCAAGCCCACGATCCCCGCCAACTTTGCGTGTAAGCGAGTTGCGCAAGTCCCCCCCAGTCACTTACGAAGCAGCAATGCGCAAGAAACGCGCTTCTCGGCTTCGGCGCCAAGAATGCTCCCGTTACCTTATTTCAAGTGTCCTTCCCTTTTAGGCAATTTGAAGAAAACAAGTGTTATTGATAGGGGAGAGGATTAGCTATAAGCGGCAGGTGGCAGTCGTATCTTCTCGCTGGTGGCATTTGTTATTTCGTGAGCCTACCTTGGGGTGCTAGAAGGCCGGCAAGTTTTGCTATCGTAACAAGTAGATACTGCTCGGCAGTTGGAGGACACTAGACTCTTCTCAAGACTCGATCTTGTTGAATATGGCGTATATAAACTGCTTGTGCTCGCACTCATCCAGATACTACAGGCAGCAGTTCCATTCACAATCCAGCCCAGCCCTCGCAGTAATTTCAAAAGTACACCTTTTTCTCTTTCAACATGCTTCTTTCTTCCCGCATTGTCACGGCTTTGTTGGCAGCCATGCCCTTGGCTGCCGCCTTGCCGCAGCAGCCTGGCGGCGATTATTGCGGGACAACGGCCAGCGAGGACGCTCTCGAAGTCCACGCCAAGATGCTCGCCGAAGAAGCGTCCATCATGGAAAAGCTTGAAACCGGTAAAGCCAACTTTATGGAAGCCGCTGGTCTCGAGGCTAGGGCTTCGGGCAACGCAGCTGGTGCGGCCGCCATGAACTTCAATACCTACGTTCACATCATTCAAAGTGCTTCCGGTACCTCGGCTTCTAGTGGATATATCTCGGTATGAGCTCTTGGTACCTAGAAGTTCTTTCTCGCGTTGACTCTTTGCTTTCTTACCTTTATCTACAAAATATAGAAGCAGAAGATCGATGCGCAGATCAGAGTCCTCAATCAAGAGTACGCCCTCGCCAACGTTAGCTTCACCCATGTCAACACCTCGTACGTTGTGAACAGCAAGTGGGCCAACGCCCAGTACCCCGGCGACAACATTGAGAGTGAGATGAAGAGCCGACTACACATTGGCGGCCGTCTTGATCTCAATCTCTACTATATCCCCAGCTGGGACGGCAGCGGCGTCTGCCGTTTCCCCAACTGGATCGGCCCCGACGACGAGAATCTTGCCATTGACGGCTGCATGTCGGCGAGCAACTCGTTTCCAGACGGGTCAAGCAGCCGCCGAGGGTTCTTGACCGTCCATGAGGTCGGCCACTGGATGGGACTCTTGCATACTTTCCAGGGCGGCTGTAATGAGAGAGGTGGTGATTACGTGGCCGACACTCCGGCTGAGGAAGGGCCCAATTGGTCGAGCGCCGGGTGCCCAGCCGACCTCGATACGTGCCCGGGACTGCCCGGACTTGATCCTATCGAGAATCACATGGATTATTCTCACGAGTAAGTTGAAGATTGATCGCGGTGACCGTGTCGGAAAAGATACTGACTGGTTGTGGTAGATCTTGCAAGACTGGTTTCACTGCTGGCCAGGCCAAGAGACTGCGTGAAATGGTTCTGGCGTATCGCTATGCGAGGAATTAGGTAATTTCAGGTGCTACTTGAAACTATTGAGATGTGGTCGAGTTTTTGTAGATGGAGGTGAGCGGGAGAGTTTGGAGTAGAGGTGTCACTTTACGATGTCGTGCTACTGAGCGGATCTTTTGGTTGTGAATATAGCAAGTATTCATGTTGAATCAACTTCGACTGGCAGAGAATCCGAAGCTAAAATCAATATCGTTTTCTTTGTTTGTATTTTTTTTTTTTTCTTTTTTGCAGCCGCTTTCAAATACCGGCTTACAGTAACTTGGCACGACAAATACGCACTCGTCCTTGCAAGTTCAATAAACCTTGCTTCAGCAACCAGAACAAGCAATGCTCTCAAAAATTGAGTGACTTGATCATTTTAAATGATGCATTGAGTTTGCTGTTATTTTCGTCTTTCTAGCACGTCAACCTGGAGCTAATTTACAGGGAATATACTAACGACAGGGGTGGTCGCGTCCAACGAGTGGCTGCTGGTGAAAGTCGCGCCGCCTACCTAGGTAATAGCTGCCTAGCTGGGGACCTATTTACCAGTAAATTTATTTAGCGGCTCCGGTAGGCCGCCTGCCAGATTCCCGACTCGCCACTGATGATTTCATCTCCTCTTGCACCGTTGCACGACGCCACCTCCAAGCTCTTGCATTTCCTTCATCTTTCATCCACCACCGCATGACTCTTCCATCGTCTCCAAGATGACGAGCCACGGCGATGGGGTCAATCCCCTCCGGCCCTACTACATACGGCCTTCTATCGGCGAGCGCCCAGAGCCCGCCGCCCCCGGGCCCAAGGCCTTTTCGTCAACGTCGGCGCGCAACGCAACCGTCTCGACATCGTCTCGCTACGCCAGCAGGGCGCGCGACATGTTTGGCGATCTAGACTACAAGGGCTACATGGATGACGACGCGCCGAGCATGGCACGCACCGCCAAGGAGCTGCTCGACGACCTGGTCTGGAAATACACCTCAGTGCTGATGGGCCAGCCGTTTGAGGTTGCCAAAACGATCCTGCAAGCTCGCAATCAGGACGAGAATGCACTGATGTCCGAGTCGGTAGAGACGGAAGTGTCTGGCATGTCGTTTACGAATCAGGGGCTAGGAATCCAAGATGTGAGTGTCCGCTTTGTTCTTGAAAAAGATGCATTGTGCGGCTTTCTTGAGGCATTGTTAACCATGTCTGCAGCACGATTCCGACTCGGAGGGTGACGAATCTACATTTTTCACATACAATGGCCCCGATACGCCGGCAACCACGAGGAGGGGAGGTAGTCTGACGGAACGCCACGCCTCCCCGCTCACATCCCCAAAGCCGGTCAAACGCCAGCAATCCGTCATGCCGGAGCACTACATTCCGCTGCGCCGACCCGACTCTGTCACCGAGGTCATTGGCCATCTGTGGCGAAAAGATGGCGCCTTTGGCGTCTGGAAAGCTTCCAACGCCACTTTTCTCTACACCGTACTGCACTCGCTGTTGGAAAATTGGTCCCGCAGCTTTCTCAGCGCCGTCTTCAATGTCCCTGATCTGGGCCTTAGAGAAGATATTGATCGCATCATTGACATTGCGACGCCGTATCCTTGGGCTTCGCTTTTTATTGCCGCCACCGCCGCTGTAGTAACGGGGCTCGTCCTCGCGCCGCTCGATCTCGTGCGGACGAGACTCATCATGACGCCAAGCAGCAAAGCTCCCCGCCGCACCCTGGCTACGCTGCGTGCCCTGCCCTCGTACTTTGTCGACTCGATGCTCGCCATCCCCACGATCCTCAACTCGCTCGTTCACCCGCTCATCACGCTTTCCACGCCTCTCATTCTGCGCAGCAAGTTTTTGCTCGACAGCCAGGCCTCGCCCATGACATTTTCCGCGGCCAAGTTTCTCGCATCGACAACTGCCATTATCGTCAAACTGCCGCTCGAGACGGTCCTCCGCCGTGGCCAGATGGCCGTATTGTCGAGCCCCGAATACATCCGCGCTCTCGCCGGCAAGGACCTCCGCATGGAGACAATTGTGCCCATTGGCCCGTACCGCGGCGTCCTCGGCACCATGTATCACATCACCTCGGCCGAGGGCTCCAGGACCATGCAGCTAGAGCCGCCGGTCAAGAGCACCCGCAAGAACAGTAGAGACCGATTCAAGGCGCCGCTTGTCAAGCAGGGTCAAGGTCTTGACGGCCTGTGGCGCGGCTGGAAGGTGAATTGGTGGGGTCTCGTTGGTCTGTGGGCTGCCAACGTTGTTGGAAACGGAGGCGACGGCGAGTTTTGAGGCTAACACTCGGACGCCTCTTGTACTATCTCTCATTTCGATCTTTTACTGCCGTTGTGGTAGACCATTCCGTGGCGAGGCCTTTTACTGGCTTTTGATACTGCTGTTGTGCTGCCGATCTACAACATCTCTCTTCTCTACTCTACGATGAACTGTTTTACGACAAAAGCCGCTATGATATCCATCTCTATTTTCATCCTCGGGGTGTACAACTACTATAATACAAAACCACATTATCAAAGTCGTTGGTTTTTCCTCTTATTCAATCTATGTCTATTGTGTCGTCTCTACATGGTGAATGATGGCAAGAAAGTGAAAATTTCTACTCGTACTGGGGAGGCTTGGACGTGTCGACCTTTTTGATGACGCGCGCAGGACTTCCTACCGCCACAGACTCTGGCGGAATGTCTTTTGTCACGACGCTGGCGGCGCCAATCACGCTACCGCGGCCAATCGTCACGCCTGCCAGGATCGTCACGTTGCCGCCAATCCAGCAGTCGTCACCGACGGTGATGGGCGCGCCGCTCTCGGGCCCGCGCGTACCGTTGCGGATGCGGTAGTCGACCGGGTGCGTGCCCGAGTAAAAGGACACGTTGGGGCCGGCCATGACCCGGTCGCCAATCGTAATGGTGCACGTGTCGATCCAGACGCTATTGCTGTTGATGTAGACGTTTTTGCCCAGCCTAAAAAAATGACTGTCAGCGTGCACGATTTCGGCGTTTTTTTTGCTGTTGCATTTGAGCGGCCGCCGCACTTGATGTTGTAACCGTAGTCAATCTTGCCAATGGGTCGGTCGACCCAGGCAAAGTCCTGAAGGAGCTCCTCGTCTTGCTCCTCGCTGGCTGCTCGCGCGGGCAGCGGCGTCTTGTTCTGGGTGATGCTGTAGGGGGGGGGTTTCCGTCAGCGGTCGGTCAGAAAGGGCAACGCGGAGATGAATCTGGGCTCACTCGTTCCACATCTCGGCTATCTCTCTGCGTGAGGCATCATCGGCCTTGTTGAAGCGCTTGTAAGCAGTCTCGACCCTCTTGCGCGCCGCAATCAGATCTGGCGTAAAGGCATAGTACAGCTCGCCGGCAGCCATGCGCCGGAGATTGTCCTGTTGATCGATGGGCTTGCCATCCGCGGATGTAGCTGACATTCCGTATTCGTCTATTTGCAAATCCTGAAGAAACGAAGGTGAGTTGGGTTATAGTCTTGTGTGGGAGTGAGTTGGTAAGAGCGCGGGGTTCGCCTGGAACGATGTGGGGAGTTGGAACTACTTGTTTGGAAGCAACATTTGGATACCTGATCGCTTGAATTTGAACAAGATGCGCTGTCAAAACTTGATTAATAAAGTATTAGCAATGAATGTATGTTTACTGATTGACAGCCAAACAGAAGCCATCTCACATGAGTTCAACATCTGAATGCTTTGGCATGCTGGACCGGCTCTACAAAGGATCAAACGATATCGACACGCGCAATGTGCTTAAAGGTATTATTCACTTTCATATGAGAAGTCAGTTACTGATTTAGCACTATAGAAAGATGAATAGGCTATTACATGCCACACAGCAAATCGTGTGCACACAATAAGCTTCCATCATCACTTAGTTATACTTCGACCAACGGTCTCCTGGAGTCGCTGGAGATAGCAGCCTAGTCAACGTGAAGACTTGTCTCATAGCGGAAAGCGATTTCTCAAACGCGCTGTTTTGAACCCTCCACCTCGTTTTCTTCATTTTTCCAGTACCATGAATTTCTGCTAGTTTGGGTAGTCTGGCCTTTAGCTTGGCGTGTGAAGCCATGGGTCTGAATTAAGGCCCATGTGGGACGGACGCGATCTCAAACCACGGGCAGGACGCGATAATCGAGTCGATTTGCTTTCAACACGCCACGAAATTCACAGTGACGGTTTTTCGTCTTTCATACACGTATATATAGCTCTTGAGGACTACAAGGTAATTTACATCAACTCTCATTACAAGAGTGGTTATTGCCTGTCAATCACGTGCTACACGCTTATCGCTATCGTGCGCGCCAGGGGAGCAAGGGACTTGAACCTTTACATTGCACCAGCATCATTTACCTGCACAGCCTTTTCCATCGCGCGCAATACTACGCCATGTTCGCGTACTAGTAGTTGTACACGGCAGAGTACCCGCGCGGCATCACTTAACTGTGACTTTGGCTCGCCCCGGCCAGCGCGACAAATGGCATCGATGGACAAGGCGCCAAACACCAAGGCCAGTGCAGGCGCCGCGCCACGCAAATACAAGGCATCCGACCTCCCCTTGCCCTCAGCGACACGTGCTGCCATAGAGTCGCTCGCGCACGCATTCAAAAAGGAGGGCGCGTACGACGACATTCGCAAGCACGTATGGGAAAAGTTTGAAGCGAGCGATTACGAGGCGCAAGTTACCAAGGCGATACTCGAAGTCGCCGAAAAAGAAGTCGAGCGAAACCCACAGCAGCTGCTTACCCTCGACCGACGCAAAGCGGCTGCCCTCATCGATGGCGCGCTCGAGCGCTCCGGCGTTTATCAAAAGGCCGAAGAGGTGCTCGGCAAGCTGATCGACGTCGGTACAATCGAGGAGCGCATTCGCGAGATCCGCCGCGCCGAGCTTGGGCCCGAGGCCGCCGAGGCCGAAAGGGTCCGCGGCGCCAAGACCGATGAAGACTATGCCGCCGATACAGCGGCTCGACGAGCGGAACGTGCCCGCATCAGAGACGAGCTACGGCAGAAGGAGGAGGCGATTGCGGAGGAGAAGCGCCGCATAAAAAGAGAGGAGGAGAAGAGGGAGGAAAAGGAGCGCGAGCTGGCAGAGATTAAACGACAAGTCGAGCGTGACGAGCGCAGACGCAAGCGCGAACTAGAACGCGAGGAACGGGAACGACTTCGAGATCTGGAACGCGATAAACGCCACAAAGAACGCGAGCGCAGAGACAAAGAGCGCGAATTGGAGCACAAAGATAGGGACAGAGACGACGACCGCGATCGAAGTCGTGACCGCGATCGCGATCGAGACCGAGACCGAGACCGAGATCGCGATAGGGATAGAGATCGGGACCGAGATAGGGACAGGGATCGCCGCCGTGATACAGATAGCCGCCCCAAGGAGAAGGAGCCCAAGGAACTATCCAAAGAAGAGCTCGAGCGGCTTGAACAAGAAGCTTTGGACGATTTGATCCGCGAGAGTCGCTCCACGCGCAGCCGGCCCGAGGTGGAAATTGACTCGGCATTGGCGCCTCCGCCTCGCAAAACCGCACCAGCCTCTGCCATCGACCCTATTCGACGCGAATCCGGCCGTGGATCCGTTAGAGGCGATTCCCGGACCCGCCGCGACAGAGGGGACTCGTCCGCGCCGCGCGATGAGCGACGCGTCAGTCGCAGTGCCTCGCGCGCGCTCGACAAGGACACCGACCGAAGACGAGACAGGAGCAGAGACAGAAGCCGCCGTGATCGCCGCTCCAACTCGCCCCGCCGAGACCGCAGCCGCTCGAAGACGCGCCGAGAAAGATCCCGATCGCGGCCCAGGGGCGGCGACAGAGACCGCAGCCGCTCGCGTGCAAGGATTCCGGATAGAAGCAGCTCACGCCGCAGAGTCCGCAGCAGATCGCGTGCCAGGACGCCGCCGCCGCGCCGCCGGGAGCGTACCCGCTCACGCGACAGACGAGACGACCGCAGTGTTCGCCGGGACCGGTCCTACTCGCGCAGTCGGCGAGACGACAGCCGCTCGAGGCGGCACAGAGATCGCAGCAGGAATCGCAGCCGGTCGCGAGACAAGCCTACGGGGGATCGCTACGACCACTACGACCCTCGAGCGGCCGCTGCGCGCTCGCCAGTCCGCTGCCGAAGCAGAAGTCGTGATCGCGACCGTGATCGCGACCGCAGAGACGACAGGGACAGGGACCGCGACCGAGGCCGGGATCATGACCGCCGCAGCCGTTCCCGTTCGACGCATCTGCGCACCGCCTCGGCCACGCGAGAGGAGCTCGAGGAGCGCAAGCTCGAAGAGGTCAAGAAGCGCGAGAAGGAGGCCAAGGCGTACCTGGCAGCGCAAAAGGACGCGAGGGCCAAGGGACTGCCCGTGCCCGGCGTCGATGACAGGAGGCGGGATGAGCGTAGGTCGCGCAGTCGCAGCACCGAGAGAGGCAGCTTTCGCGACCGCGACAGAGATCGAGACAGGGACAGGGACAGGGACAGGGACAGGGACAGAGACAGAGACAGAGACAGAGACAGGGACAGGGATAGGGATAGGGATAGGGACAGGGACCGGGATAGGGACCGTGACAGAGGTCGTGACAGAAATCGTGACCGAGATCGGGATAAAGATCGTGATCAGGATAGAGATCGCGACAGGGACAGAGATAGGGACCGTCGTGATAGACGAGAGCGTAGCACGTCTCGCCGTCGCGATCGACGGGACCGCAGCAGAAGCAGGCGGCGAAGCCGCAGCCCATAGGTCCCAAAAACAGACCGGTTTTGTCAGCATATAATAATAACAGCGAGTTAAGAGGTCATTTCAGCCAATCTTCTCCGCATACAATGCTCACAAGTGACCCTGGGCTGCGGCTCAGCTACGTATAAACAAGAAATTTTAGTCCTCTATTTAACAGTTTTGGTTCGCAATGAATCCATATCCCATCTGGCAGCAGAATGTTACTGTTGCACTGCGACTTATCTTCCACATCTTTGCTGGAGCTGGCACCGGGCCAGCTCAAACGCTCTGTGCACTCGTTGATACTGCGAAACTTGTGATGATGCTAAAGCTATGGTAAAATACTCTTACCTGTCTTTGATTTCTTTACAAAATACAACTGGAAGTGCCATTGAGCTCGTGCTTCACCTCGACAGACCACATCACGACGCTTACCCTGCACCCCTCCAAGCAGTTGGGCTGCCAGCGAGAGCAAGGCCGAAACCGTGACAGTCAATAGAGAGCAATGAATCCTAGAGTTTTTTTTGGTTCCACGCCGTATGTTGACACAGATGTTTCGTTCTGACAGGTCAGTTGAGTTGCCAAAGACACCGACTGTGTCCGAGTCAAGGCTGCCCTTGCCAGGACAGCTTGAAGAGCCACTGAATCACGTATAGGTTGCAATTCGTAGGGCCGATTCCACTTCCGCTCGGATAACTCAGTGGTAGAGTACGGGATTGCAGCGAGTATGAATCCACGATTCATGGCAAGTCATCCTGAAGTCGCCGGTTCGATCCCGGCTCCGAGCTTTAAAATGTCTTGCATCGTTAATTTTTTTGCTCTTGTGCGCGAGAGTGGGTGAAGGGCGGAGCTGGGACGCGCTGGGGCGAGCTGGCAGATGGGCTGGGTGGGGGGTTTGGTCCTTGGCTGCAGTGCGCAACAAAGACTTCCGGCGAGGATGCGGCTGTAAATAGATGCTGGCCGGCCTTTTATTCTCTTTTTATCTCTATCGGAGACGCGTTTGCTGGGACGAAAGAGCTACTGTCGACGACTTCATTTTCTTGCTCGAGAGTACTGTGTGCTGCACGGGTCGTGTCAAAATCTGGGGTCAACAAGCTGGGCTGTCTAGCTTCCTTGAATTGGGGGATGGAGGAAGCGGCTTGAGAGGTCTGCATGCTTCTGTGCGTTTTCAAGGTCACCAAAACGTACAGAACCCGAGCGTAAGCAATCTTGCACTTCAATAAACGGTGAAATTTGATAATGAACGCTATCAGAAAATTACTGTCGTTGTAAGCCCTTCATCTTTTCGATTCCGAGTGCTGCTGGAGTTGGCAGTGGCTGGTAGGCTCTTTGGCATGTACCAAAGTGTTCACGTACAAACCAAATCAGACAAGAGAATTAGGATGCGTAGCTAAACAAAGCCCTTGTGTTTGAACTCTAAAATATTCTCCCAAGGTGGCAGATACTTTTGGTTTTTATGCTTTTTCGCCGCAACCATATACATCCGGCCTTGCGGGCTAGTCCCAAGCCTTTATAAGCTATCTTTAGGAAGTCGAAAGCAAGCTCGGATAACTCAGTGGTAGAGTACGGGATTGCAGCCAAGTGGGTAACCACCAGCAAGTCATCCTGAAGTCGTCGGTTCGATCCCGGCTCCGAGCTTACCATTATTTTTTGCCATCGTCCCTTTGTTAGTCTTTTTTTTTTTTTTTTTGTTTTTGGCCAACAGTAACTTATATAATGCACATCAAAGAGCCGAGCATTTGATGCCCACGTAGCCATTGTAGTAGTTCTGATTCGCAAATGATATATATATATATACGCATATATATCTACCTAATTTCGATCTTCTTCCCCCACGCCCTTGCCTAGTCTTAGCCAACGACCACGCCGAGTCAAGAAGTTACCAACCAGCCCATCCATCACCAAGCGATGCTTTTTAATCACCCTGCTAGATATGCTGCAGCATTTCCTCTCGATTGCAAAACGCTCGAGGCGCACTAGCAATCCTTTTACAGCAGATATATGAAACCCAGTAATAACCTGCAAGCTCAGACCAAGTATGCGCTGGAAATCCCATGCCGAGCTAACAACGCGATGCAACTCTACCAAAGCCCATCTGCAGCTCACACGACCACCCTTCGAGATATTGATGCCTTGACAGAACTTGATGCAGCTAGTCCATCTTCCATTTCTCTTGATTCCTGCAGCTTCTCTCCCCCCCTTTCTACGCAAAAGATCGGCCCGATGGACCTAGGGTATAAAGCTCTCTCGCTTCCTTCTTTATAAGACATGATAGATCCCCAAAGTCGCCGCCCCCCATCTTTGTGAGAAAACCTTTTTTGCGCGTTGCTCCCTCCAAAACCCCATCATCCATCAAGCGATGATGCTCTTTTGCACAATTCTCCTGCTTGCCGCCGGCCTGACCGCCGCCACATCCGTGCAACGCGCCGCCGGCTGCTCAGGCTTCGCCGGCACCTGCGGCCGGGCCTTTGCGCGCAACGGCACGTCGGGCCGGCCCGACGCCGACATGGCCGTCTACGCGACGTACTGCCTCGACATAGCGGGCGAGCGGCACTACAACCCGGCGGTGCGTATCAACGACTGCTTAGGAAATGCGTTTGGGCGTCTGACGGGCGGAAAGGGGTAGGTGTTATTTGTTATTATTTTGTCTTCTTTTTCGCCTTGTTTGTTCTTTGGACGAGATTTGAAAAAATAAAAATAACAATGACATTTTGTTTCAGGTTCGCGTATAGCTGCCGTGACTTTGGCATCGATCCCATCGGGACGCCCAACGTCTTCAAGGCGACGTGCGCTGATGGTGGCGGCCACGATAAGCAGACGGAAATCAATCTAAGTAAGTCTCCGTCTCCTCTGTCGTTTTTCTTGACAGCCGTCATGGCGGTCAAGACCCTCTGAAATGTCCAATGAAGAAAAGTCTGCGGCTAATTGGATTGGTGTAGATGAGATACTGTGCAACCTCAACGGCGAGCTGTCTTGCAGTCAATAATTTTTCATGGTGGCCATATAGTTTCTGGTCTCAATCATATTCCATCAATTTAGCCGTGCGTAGGGATCTATTCTTTTGGTCTCAATCACATTTCGTCATATTAGCCGTGTATAGGGATTCTACTTCTTTTTCTTTTTGTTTCGATACATCGCTTGTTTGCACATCCAGAAATTGCCCAAGAAGACACCAAAAATACATAAAACGCCGCAATTAAACACCAAAAGTCGGAAAATGTAGATAGTGATGAGATTGTCTTGCTTGCTGACATTACAGTCGTCTAATTGGCGCCTAATGAGGTGGTTGGCATGCCAGTGGGCACCGCATTCACCCACCCGTAGAGGACAGCCAGGACAAACAAGAGCCCCAAGACGGCGCTACCGAGAACAATGTAGCGCCTGGTGAGCAAGCCGCCGCGAACACCGTCGGGAGAGCCAGGCACAGCGCCGTACGAGTTGAAGGTGGCGGAAATGTAGGCGAAGGAGTTGTTGTAAACCTTGAGGGTACCGTCGTAGCCGAGTGAGTAGTATGAGAGGCCGAGAAGAGCAATGCCGTAGCCAACGGCCTGGAGCAGGGTGATGGGCGTCTTCCAGATGACGACGGAGACGGCAACGAGAAGAATAGCCTTGAGAATGCCGGTCAGGGTGAGGACGAGTCCAGAGGTCTTGCCAATGAGAAAGACGCTAGCAATGTTCAACATAAAGGCGACGCTTGCGTTGAGGAAGAGCATGGTGAAGCCAGTGTTGACGAGATCGTCGTACTTGAAGGTGGGGATTTCGGTAAAGAGGGCAACAAAGATGTTGAAAAAGGCGCAGACGGGGGCATAGTAGTAGAGAGCGACCAGAGGGTCCATCTTCATGCCCTCGGCGGTGAGCATGACCTGGATCATGACGAGGCGAACAGCCTCAAAGATGATGCCGAGCATCTGGTAGATGAAGCCAATGAGAGAAAAGTTGATTTCGCCAAAGCTTGCGACAGCGACACCGATGACAATGACGAGAATGTTGATAAACTTGGCAAGGTTGGGCTCGGCAACGCCAAAGGCCCACGACGTGAAGAGGACGGCGACGGGGGAGCCGGCCTTGAGCATCTGGGTAAAGGCGACGGAGAGATAGAGGTAGACGAGGTTGGAGAAGACGAGGGAGCCGGTATAGAGAATGCCAATGGGGACAATGGTACGGATGTACATGCGACCGTTGATGGGCAGCGACTTGCGGCTCTCGAGGAGAGAGGTGGTGCGGGCGAGTATCTGGGTGGCACCCGTGGCAAATATGAGATGCCAGCATGTGAGGATGATGGCTGTGATGAGTTAGCAAAAGTTGAGAGGAGGCGCATCGGCGAGGCGCGCGCGCAAAGGGAAGACGTACGGTATCCTAGAGACAAAGGTTAGCAAGAGACACGAAGGGGGAAAAGGGCGACGCGACTGAGGCGCGCAAACGTACGGAAGCCGGCCGTGTCGAGCAGCCATTTGTTGAAGAGAATGGTAGCATTGGAGAAGAGTATCCAGTTCCTGAAGAAATGTGCGTGTTAGTGCCGCGCGTGCAGAAGACGACGATCTGGCGATCCGGGACAAGGAGGGGGGGGGGAGGGACGAGCAGCGTACAGGATGAAGAGCGAGGGGTGGAGGCCGGAAGCAGCCGGCGGGGCGGGCGTCTTTTCCACCGTGGGAAGCGACGAGTCGCCAGATGAACGAGCCATAATGCGTAGAAAATGGTGATAGCGAGGTCAAAGAGCGAAGAGAAGCGGAAGAGAGACGAGGCTGGCGTCGGGAGCGACGCGGGGAGCGTGTTGTAATGATGGCAGCCGATGGGCTGTGTGACGATGATGTGCGTGGTGGCCCAGCTTTTTTCTTTTTTTTTCGTCGGTTGTCGATCGTGTTGCAAGACAATGATCTATGTGGCGAGTAAAAACTGACGTGAGAGTTCGGAATCAAAGAGTAAGAGGTCGTGGAAAAGTCTCGAGGTACAGAAAAATGAATGTATAGAGGAACGAATGGATAAAGTAGAAAAGGAGAAGAGACTGGCGGCGCGCGAAAAAAGGCAAGGGCTAGGTGAAAAAGATTGCCGCGATTCGTTAGCAGGCCCAAATGGCAAGGGAGGGGAGGCGTGGGAGGGACTTGAGGCTGGGGCCGACGGGCAAGGCTGTGTGGCGTCTGTTCTCCCCCTTGTATCGAGGCGAGGGTGTGAGGGGTCGTTTATGTGAAGTTCAATCTTGGCAGCAACATGTAAGACTTTTACTTGGAAGATTGTCTATTGTATACCGGGAAAACGGCTGAATTTCTTTGTATTTATCCCATGTCTTCCAAGCGCCTTGTCGTGATCCGTCTCACGTAGAGAACTGCAGCAGCTGTATGCTCTAGCGGGGCGCCGCCTGATGAATGGGTGGCATGAGAGGTTCTGGTGGAGACGCAGAGACCTTGTAGGTAGGGCCCTTCAGCTACTTGTTGGACCCAAACTTCAGTTCATGATGTACCCTTTTCTGCCCTTTTCAGCCCTAGGGACAGCGCAGCAAGGAAAGCAAACCTAGTCAAGATGGTCAATGTGTTGTTTGACATGCTCTTTTTGTGTCTCATATTCCGGTTGCACCATTGATGGCTGGAACTCCGAGCGCTGCAACAGGCACCTTTCATCGGCATGGCCGGCAAAGCACGCGATACGACGTCGTCTCTGACCTAAAAAAATGGTCCCCTATGCGCATCCCCTGTATGCATCCCCTGTACGCAGTGAATAGCCGCTTGCCCCACGTTAGCTGGGTTATGCAACTTCATGCACACGGCATCTGTAATCTAAAAAAGAAGGCAACTTACGAGTTTATTCAAGAGGAGCAGCTAGAAAGGGAAAAGGGCAGATGAATGTCTTCTGGGCCTTTTGTTCTCGTCGAATTGAATCTCCACGTCTCGATCACCGTCATTAATCGACGCCGGTCCTCGACTCCTCCTGCCCCTGAACCTGGCCCAGACCCCTTCCGCTAAAAGACACTAGTTGCCTGCATCTGCCCCCACGTGGGAAATGCCAATACACTTGACGGCAAATCATGACACATCATCCCTTGGCGTCTGGTCTGCGTTTTGACTCTTTTTTCTTTCTTCTAGCCCCGTCCCTCAGCGATCTCAACTACAAAAAATACAATAAAGAAATCTACCGGCATTCCTTCCGTCGCCCTTCGTGCGCCTTCTAGTTATTATTGTTAATACAGAGGGCTTATTACAAATGCTGGGGCGCACGTCATTTTATGCGACGAGTCGAGCAATCCTGTTCGCGCGCGTCGTGATTCATGACTCGAAATTTGTCTTTGTAATTAAATGAGCGCACTCCATCTGGCGCGGCGGCGCGCTTCGACTTAGCCGGAATCTTCCGCGCCGAAAGGCGAAAAGCGAGAAGCAGGAAAAATAAGTCTGACATGAGACGTGGGCATTTCTTATGCTATGCTCACTGCCTCAATTCCCAAATCAACAAACAACTCCTTCATACTTGGGCACACAGTCTATTTACTTTATACATGCCCAGACTGTCTGGTCAAAACGCCTGCTATATATACTCCCAAGTGAATGCTCCAATGCCAACCTCATCAACAATGCCCACCTGCGTCAGGCTTTGCCGCTATCTGACAGATCGCTGTCCGAGAGTGATATCGACTCGGCCGTCCCCACTGTCGTATTATCCGTCTCCGTTGCGCTGCTATCCGACTGATCATCGTCGGCGTCCGTCTCCGTCGCCGCCGTAGACACGGCCGACGTCATGGTGCGCGCCGCCTCGCCCTCTGACTTGAGCTCTGGCGGCGAGTCGAGAGTCGTCATCTCGTAGTGCACGCTCGTCGGCAGACGGGACTCGGCGTCCTGCATCTCGTCTTCCTCGGCATCGAGAACCATGCTAGGGTCGACGCATTCGTAAAAGAGCATAAAGACGCCTGGCGCTAGCGACATGACTATGTCATCGCTCACTTTGGTCACATTATGATCGCTAAGTCGCCACCAAGTCGGCTCGCTGCCCGCGCTAGCCTCGCTTGGGTTCTCACCCTGAGCTGCGGCATCGCCGTCTGTGTCAGTAAAACCCTCGTTGTCTGCCTCTGAAGCACCAGTCTCAGACCTAGCCTCTCCACCTTGCTCACTAGGTTCGTCTGACTGCTTGGCTACCATTCTGGGCTCGGACACCTTCCCTTCTGCTGGCTTCTCCTCTGGTACTGGTACTGTTGATCCTTGTGTTGTGTCTTCTGCTGTAGCTCCCGCAGCTTCGCTGGCAGCTCGACTACTCGGCGCAGACCTCGGGTACTTGCGGTAGCATATGTAGTGGCCGTTTTCGTGCCGCCCGTAGTGTGTCACCGCTGCACGCAGCTCGTAAATCGGCCCAGAGAGCCGCGACTGGCTGCCGTCCCCCGCAATCAAAGAAGCCATCGAACCCGTAGGCCACAGCTCCTCGCTCTCGGCGCTGCCAGTCTTGCCGCCCGAACTGCCCAGGCACCACGGCCCGAGATCCAAAGTCATGGGAAACTGCACGGGGGCCGAGTTTTTAATCATGTCAAATGTCGCTGGATCAAACACAGACCGATTCATGTGTACAACCAGAGACTGCGGTGGCCGCCCAATCACGATCTGTTTCGTCTTGGTCGTCGTCACCTTGCTCTTTGGTGAGATTTTGCAGGCCTCGTGGAGTGTCTTTTCGTCGAAATCGTCCTCCTCCAACGCAGCATTGACAGCCTCCAGGCGTTGTGTCGGGTCAGCGAATTGTGCTTCTGGTATATTGCTCTCCTTCATCTTCTTCAAGAGACTTGTCAAAAGGCTCTGCGTTTTCAGAAGAGTGCACTTGGGGCACTCGACACCTTCGATTGCCTCAACCTTGGTATAAGCATCTAGACGCTCATAGAGATCATGCTGATGCTTCTCCAGACCAAGGCTAAGGGTAAGACAGTTGAAAGGAATCATGGAAATGCCGTCCGAGTGGCCACATCGAATGCAGGCTACTCTTTGTGCGAGTAGACCCTCAAGCGGGTTCCGGATCAGCTTCATCTCAGACAATCTGGAGGTTGCGTATCCGCTATCATCACTGTGTTCACTGGGCGTCGCATCGTCCTTGGTCGGTGCGCCGCTTTCCAGCCCACGCTGTGGTCGACTCTCCTGCACTGCCGTGGTCACGCCCCGTTCTATGTCGTCCAAGATTTTGGAGTAATATTCTTGCGCATCTTGTTGCGTCCATGTACTCATTGATTTCAGAATCCTTGGCGTCCACAATGTTTGTCCATTGTTTCCAAAATCGTTCAAATCGGTAATCAGTGTTTGTAGTGTCTGAGCCACACTGCTGTTGGATTGCTCCGCATTCAAATTCTCGAGGCACGTCGACAAAAATTTCGGCATCGAGTCGAGAGACGACAGTCCTTGCAAGATGCTGTTCTGGTAACACGAATTATCGATATTGCCTAGCCCCGGTGGCCGATCTGATTGTGTCTTGATGCCAAAGACATTCCCCGTGGCTGACAGCGCTCGGCTTCTCGCCTTCAAGACTGACGCCATCATGCCTCCAGGACGGTCCAGACCTATTATGCGACGCATCGCATCGCTCTTGGCTGTATGTGTGCTGCCGTCATTCATTGATTGTGACGGGTTGACCCAGCTGTCGAGAGCAAAGATCAGACGAGCAGGTAAGATGAAGATGAGCGCTTCGAGAAGTATATTGCCGGCCGATGTGACGACGGCGTCGAGGGTTGTTTCCTGGCCATACGATCGGTAGAATATTGTAGCCACCAGGACAAGCAGCGAGATGCTCCAGCCTGACCAGTGAAACTTTTGCCAGAGCGTCTCGCTCGTCGTCGAAAGTAGTCGGCGGTGCGCCGCCACGCGATCGTTGTAAAAGTTGACGAGCTGCTCGTCTTCGGAGTTCATGCTGCAGATGGGGAGCCGCCCCGGCAGATCAAGGGATTAAGCGCTCCGCTCAATGGTGCCTTGGTCGAAAGCGCACAGATGGCTAGAGCTGTAATGCCATGACCGGGTTGCGCTGGGCTAAGGGGGAACTCGCCAGCGCTCGCAGTGTCTTTTTTTTTTTTTTGAGTGTTTAGTGCTGCAAAAGATGTTGGTAAGCTGGCTGGTAGTGTTTTTGGCCCTGTTATTGTGTGAAATCATTCGATAGCATAGTTGCCATCACTCGACTTGTCCTCCCTGAAAAGAAAGTTGCGACGTCAGAGCTTTTGCAGCCTGCGCCGCCTTGTGGCGCCGCCTGCTGATTCTGGCGCTGCTCTCACGTGCGGGCGTGCGTCGTGTGGCGTTGTTCAGACGCCATCAGCAAACGGCTTTCTCCGGCAGCCCACCTCTTCCATCAATCCGGGGTAAGTGACGACAAAGCTTCGAGACATCAATTCATTTGAAAAGATTCGAAAATGAAAACCAGCTTGCTAGGTGCAACTCGGGCCATACGGTAAAGGCTCAAGCCAACCGCCCTAAGAATTGCTGCTGACTACCTATTTCAAGTCCAAGGGCCACTCTTACACGAAGCTTGGTTCCGGCACCTGCCTCGGGCATTCGGCCCAGCAGAAGATGGTACTCGACGGTGCTGGAATCCAACGCGCGAGGGTTGCTTTTGAGAAGTGCTGAATCTGGCCAACAAGTCAACACACTTCTGTAAGTATACTTGAAAATCTACATCTTCTTGGCTGATTAGTATCTAGCTCAAAGTTCTGGCTTCGGTGGGTTGCGCCGAAGGTGCGTTGCCAGCATGCTAACACAAACTAGCGATAATTGCCGCTGCAATAAGTGCGTCAATCAAGATACTATGCAGAGAAATTATGATACTTTTGGAGTGAGAAAGCTTCTCGCTTTGGTGGTAATGCAGTACTGACAAACTCAGATCCCAGCAGAGATTGAGCCCGCGGAGATCTCGCCCAAAACCGACGGAGTAGAAATCACATGTATGCGACAAGAAGAAGTTTGATGTCCGAAAAAAGCTAACTGATTTAGGGAACGACTCGCATAAAAGTTACTATCCTTGGTCTTGGTTTTATGAAACCTTGACTGCTAGCACAAACAATCGCCCGCTGGCACAAAAGTAGGCTTGCCTGGTCCGCATAGAGAACAACGAGTGACGAAACCCTGACATTTCGCAGCGAAAAGAAACTTTGGAGTGCCAGCATTGAAAGCAACCCTCCAGAAGTCAATTTTGAATCTATCGTAGGATCCAAGAACTTGACTGGTCTCGCCGACCTAACGGACAAAATCGTGAGCCCTAGCTAGAACCCGTATTGAGCGCGGCTAATACCTGCAGCGCACATATGGCCTCTGCTTCGTGACCAACACTCCGGCTACACCGGAAGCCTCTGAAAAGTTGTTACAGACCATTGGACCTATCCGAAATACACACTACGGTGGCTTCTACGACTTTGTCCCTGATCTTGCCTTGGCTGACACGGCGTACACGAACCTGGCGCTCGCGGCTCACACGGACACGACGTACTTTACAGAGCCTGCTGGTCTGCAAGCCTTTCATCTGCTCTCTCACGCGCCTCCTCCGAAACAGCGACCCGAAGACGCTCTGGGGGGCCAGTCGCTGCTCGTGGACGGCTTCCATGCCGCGAGGGTGCTGGAGCAGGAGTCGCCCGAGGACTACGAGACGTTGCGCCGGGTCAAGGTGCCGTGGCACGCGAGCGGCAATCAAGGCGTAGCGATTGCGCCAGACCGAGCGTATCCGGTGATTGAGGGGGGTTCCACATTGCGCAGGATTCGCTGGAACAACGACGACCGAGGCGTGATCCCGCTGGATGTCGACGTCAATGCGTGGTACAGGGCGGCGCGCAAATGGAATGAGATTCTGACGCGCAAAGAGAACGAGTACTGGTTCCAGCTTACACCTGGACGGATGCTGAGTAGGTTGGCGTTTTGGGATGTATCCGGGATGTGTAGCTAATTGCCAGCAGTCTTTGACAACTGGAGGGTTCTCCACGGAAGAAGCGCATTCGAGGGCCTTAGACGCATCTGCGGCGGCTACAGTAAGTGCCAGAAAATCCGAAAAACTTGAGGGATATGCTAATCGCTCTAGTCAATCGAGATGATTTTATCTCTAGATGGAAGACCTCCAACTTTGAGAGAGAAGAGGTCATCTCTCACAACATGCAGCTGCGATGAGTACAGGTATAAGTAATTAGGGAGGCTTCAACGCCAGTGGCTATAGAATCTTGACGGTGACCAGAATGCTCAAGGGTACAAGTAAATGCATTTAGACAGTGCCATTCTATTTATGGAATAAACAAGGAGCATGCTGTGTTCTTGGCGTCTTGCTTCAAGGTGGCGATGCAGCGGTGGTAATTAAACATGGAGGCGCAGCGTTGTGGCACAGATTTGGTGATATTTGTAGCCCGTGGAATTGCCATGGATGAGGCAATCGACTTGCTTGCTCTTATTAGGTAGTCATAGTGGCTCAACCCCGTTGCGATTTGTGACGTACCTAACTGTAGAAAAATGGCGACGGAATAGGTGGTGGTGTGATATGAGCTCTCTGGACAGGCGAGGTAACTTGGGGGCGGACATGAGAATGGAGTGACGATCCAGGCTGTCGGAATTTCAAAGCCAAAGATCAATAAGAAAACGGGAGTTCTGGAGAAATCAGAGCAAATTTCTGCAATATTCACGATTGTTTCTTGTTTAATTCCGCATATCAACTGCTCTGTTGCAAGGGAGTTGGCTAGGTTGTTAGGTTTGGGCACCTCGTGTCTTGGAACCTATCTGGGTAGGAGTGGGGCACGAGCTGCCTCTTTGGCGCGGGGCAACGAGAAAAGGTGATGCAGGGGACTCGGCAGTGAACAATTGAATACAGTGTGAGACATGAATGAAAAGTTTGAAAGTCTGATAATTGTCGAAGTATTCTCTGATCAGAGATCTGATTTGAGGAATAAAGTAATGGCCAAGCTGGAAGAAACCCCGGGCAACTTGCAGCTTACACATTGAATGAGGGATTCATTGATTGGGCAAACACGCAACCGTCTGTGCGACAGGTACTCATACACTGTGTTAGTACTGATTCAGTACGTCCGTACCTACTGTGGGTGTACGGAGGAGCAAATCCAACTTTGCCTCATCCACCCGCCTTGCAATCTGGATCCGCCACCCACCACGAGCTGCCCATCTTTTCCATCTTGTCATCCTCTCTGCAGCTTAAAACCTCTTCGCCACGGACCCCTGCCTTATCATCTTGCATCACCTCGATTCGGCTCGTCTTCGCTCAACCCCGACCTCCTCCCGAAACCTGCCAGCGAGCGCCCTCTGCTGCCTCAATCTGCTCGAAGCCGCTCTTGGACCTGACCAACGTACCAGCGCACATGCTTTAGCTCTACTCTGCTCTGCCAACCCCAGCCCCTCACCGCCAAGAAAAATTGCGGCTATTCGATCTTGCGATCACGACCTTTTGCGACGCGCTTCTCTTCTCTCCAGCCAATAGCAATTCCGTTGGTACCTGCCTGATTTCTTCTACGTCTCTGTCGGCCACCGCCCACCGCCGCAGCCATGGATCCGGAGCGCGCCACCCCCGAGGACCGTCGCAACCAGCAGGTTGATAATGCTATTCGCGCCATACAGCAGAAGAAGCCTGTCCCCGAGATTGATTTTACAATCCACACCATGGAAGACGGCACCCAAGTTAACACCATGGAGCGTGTTTGCAAAGGTATGTCAACTCCTGCTACTGCGCAGTTTCAGGCTGCGTACGTCACACGTCGTCAACCACATAGCGTTGCGCGACAGACTCTTCTCAATAGTCATAATCTGCGCACCGCCTGCCTCATCATGCTGATCAAGTCGTCCTCCATGCAGACGTGCAAGCACCAGCCACCTCCAAGCCTACAGATGAACAATTCTTCTCAGACAGCACCCGTACCAAGCCCGACATTCACTTTCTCAAGCAGCACTTTTACCGCGAGGGTCGTTTGACCGACGAGCAGGCTCTCTTCATTCTCAAGACCGGCGCCGACGTCTTGCGCGCAGAACCCAATCTGCTCGAGATGGATGCCCCCATCACCGTCTGCGGTGACGTCCATGGCCAGTACTACGATCTGATGAAGCTCTTCGAGGTCGGTGGCGACCCTGCCGAGACGCGCTACCTCTTCCTCGGCGATTACGTCGACCGTGGCTACTTTTCCATTGAGTGTGTTTTGTACCTGTGGTCGCTCAAGATTCACTACCCCAAAACCCTCTGGCTGCTGCGCGGCAACCACGAGTGCCGCCACTTGACCGACTACTTTACCTTTAAGCTAGAGTGCAAGCACAAATACTCCGAAGCCATTTACGAGGCCTGCATCGAGGCTTTTTGCTGCCTTCCTCTAGCTGCTGTCATGAACAAGCAGTTTCTCTGTATTCACGGAGGTCTTAGCCCTGAACTGCACACTCTGGATGATTTGAGAAATGTACGAGATGTTATCTCCTCCAATAGGCCATGATGAGGCGTTTTGCTAACCAACCCCTCCTCAGATTGATCGATTCAGAGAGCCTCCTACGCAGGGTCTCATGTGCGACATTCTCTGGGCTGACCCTCTTGAAGACTTTGGACAGGAAAAGACGAGCGACTATTTTTTGCATAACCACGTACGAGGATGCTCATACTTTTTTTCATACCCTGCAGCATGCGCCTTTCTCGAGAAGAACAATTTGCTGTCCGTCATCCGCGCACACGAAGCCCAGGACGCCGGCTATCGAATGTACCGCAAGACCAAGACGACTGGCTTCCCTAGTGTCATGACCATTTTTTCCGCACCCAACTACCTCGACGTGTATAATAACAAGGCCGCGGTCCTCAAGTACGAAAACAACGTCATGAATATCCGCCAATTCAACTGCACACCGCACCCTTACTGGCTACCCAACTTTATGGACGTCTTTACCTGGTCGCTACCCTTTGTCGGAGAAAAGATTACAGACATGTTGATTGCCATTCTCAGCACGTGTTCTGAAGAGGAACTTAGAGAGGAGACGCCCTCGTCGACCTCGCCGGGCGGCGTGTCGCCACCTGTCGTCGCGACGCCCGACGACCCCAACTCGATTGAATTCAAGCGCCGAGCGATCAAAAACAAGATTCTCGCCATTGGTCGTATGTCACGAGTGTTTCAGGTCCTGCGCGAGGAGGCGGAGCGTGTCACAGAGCTCAAAACAGTCGCTGGCGGCCGTTTGCCTGCGGGTACTCTGATGCTGGGTGCCGAGGGCATCAAAAATGCCATCAGCTCCTTTGAGGATGCCAAGAAGGTGGATCTGCAAAACGAGCACCTGCCTCCTAGCCAAGAAGAAGTTACCAGACACCAGTCAGAGGAGAGAAATATTGCGATGCAAAAGGCTGTGCACGACGCCGACAATGACAAGAAGCTACATCAACTGTCGAGAAGGCTGAGCACGTACGTTGTCGACTTTGCTGTTGAAAATGACATGACTAACTCAGAATCATAGAGACCGCAAGCCCGCCTCCCGCTCGTAGACCAACACATGTAGCGCAAGCCATGTAATGTCGGACACTCACTTAAATCCGGAGCATAAGGCATCATTCGGCACTTGGTATACACACAGGTTTTAATTGTCGTCTGAATGAGCCAGTATGTCAGCCCTGTTGCGAAGCGAATTTGTGCGAATTTGCGCGAATCAAGGTATATACCAAGAGAGAAGCATGACGAATTCAGAGAAGAGACGTTATATAAGCAGTGACGAGTATAAAATCCTCCCATGATGGCAATGTCTGGAAACATTGTCTAGATGAAAATACGGCTCTGGGCTATATAGTTTTACCGAGCATATATGAGTACGATGAAGATTTATGATGCAGTCATTCCAGTTTTGGAGAAGCAAGGGCGCGATTGACCACGGACGGGGAGGTTATGGCGGGATGCCAAGTTCTCCAGCGCCGCTGCGGGCAAAATCTGGCCAGCACTGTCCCGAGTATTTCTGCACATCTAGTTCAATACGACAGCAGTACTCGAGAATTCCGATGAAAAATGTTTCTTGATTCTAACATGAGACTGCTACACCAAAAAAAAAACCAGCTGCTCGCCGCATAGTGTCATGTGGTTTGGTGGCAGGCGCTGCGTCTACGCCATCAATTCATAGCATTCCTTGATGTACTTGGCCGGATCATATGCAAAGCACCAGTCACGCACCCGCTGATCCGCCAGCCCATATGTCGGGCTCTCCGTCGCCAGCGTCGCCTCGGGCATGCCCTCGTCCTGCAGCCCATCTGCGCGCAGCGCCGCGTATACCATTTCCCGCGCCGCGGGGTCCTCCTCATGCAGCACGTGGCCGCCGTGCAGGCTGGCATCCTGCACGATATGCACCCGTTCTTTTCGGGCGTGCTCAAAAACGCGAAGAGCCTTTTGCAGCTTGTTGTGGTCGGTGGTGGTGGTGGTGGCAGGAGGAGGAGAAGGTGGTGTGCAGACGAGGTCGAGGACGGCGGCGAGCGATGCGGCGTCCTCGACGGCCAGGCTGACGCCCATGGAGAGGTAAAAGGACATGGCGTGCGCGGCGTCGCCGACGAGCAGGAAGCGGCCCGAGGGCGAGGTCCAGCGTGGAAGAGGCGGGACGGCGTGAATGGGAAAGTTTTGCATTGTAGGCAGCGCAATGTCAACGAGTCGCCGTACTCTATCCGCGCCCCCCCCCCTCCTGTGTTAGCCGAGCATGTGTGATATTGAACGTGCATGTGAAGATGGTGTTCTGATGCTTAGGAGGAGCAGAGGGGAAAGTCGTACCTGGGCTCAAAGTCCTTGACTAGGTCCTGCGCGAACGCCTTGTACTCGTCGGGCGTAAATTGGGACATGTCAATGTCGTCGGGGTGCGAGAGCACCACGTTGAAGAGCTTGGCTTCTTTGATGAGATAGGCCATGACGGATCTGCCCGGCGCGATCCACAGGTGGGAGCTGAATGTTTCCAGGTCGGCTACGGAGGCGAGCTGCGGATCGGCCTGGATCTGTGCCACCTCGGCCATGGCGCGGACCGCCGCTAGGCCCGTCGGCCGTGCGCTTCCGTTGGTGTCGCCTAGGAGCTGACGTCTCGCAAACGAGTTGATGCCTTTGAAAACACAAAAACATAAGTCTCACGTATTATCCGGCGAAACCTACACCTTCTGCTATACTTTGGTGGAAAGAGAGGGAGGGGGGGGGGGGGGTAAACGTGCATGGCGAAACTCACCGTCGGCGCCAATCACCAAATCGGCAGCCACGCGGCTCCCATCATGCAACTCGACCGCGCCGGCCGCCCAGTCATACCGCACCACCTTGCTACCGAGACGCAGCTCCGCACCGGCGGCGACTGCATGCCTGCGCAGCAAACCGTGCAGCACCGCGCGGTGCACCACCAGGTACGGCGCGCCGTACCGCTCCTCCATGCCGCCCGTCGGGATCGCCGCCAGCGCCGCGCCGGAGCGGCCGTCGCGGACCAGCATCTCGGCGGGCGCAATCGACGCCGCGAGGAGGTCGTCGCGCATGCCCCAGGCAAAGAGGTGACGCGTGGCGGGCGGCGTCAGCTGCAGGCCGGCGCCGAGCTCGGCGAGCGCGGGCTTGGCTTCGAGGACGAGGACGCGGTGGTGGCCGGGGGCACGGGCGAGGGCGAGGGCGAGGGAGAGACCGGCAATGCCGGCGCCGACAATGATGATTTCCATTTGGTTTTGGGGGGGCGGAGGGTGGGAGGCGAGTGGAATGAAGCGGGAAGAGAATCAAGAGGTTAGGGAATCAAGAGGTTAGGGAATCAAGAGGCGAGAGAATTAAGAAGCGAGATTCAAGAGACGAGGATAGTGCGGGATGGCCAGGAATCGTGGATCGAGCAGCGCAGAGAGAACGGAAATGAAAGGAAAGAGGGGTCATTATTGAATAATATCCGATAATGCGATCAGGGCGGGCCGGGCCAGGTTACGATCTCTCCGTGCCCGTGGGGTGGACTGGGGTCACTGCTGTAATAATGGGTACCAGCGTGCCAAAGGATGCAATTGTGAGTCTCTGGGGACATCCAAAGCGATCCAGATAAGGACATTTATCCGAGGGATCGCACTTGGCTTCTCGGTGGCCAGAATGGCAATAACTCTCGGGACGCCTCTGGATGCTACGCGGGGACCATTCCAGCTTTGATGAAAGCGCAAGTTCCCTCTAATAATTACAGTATATAATCAATCCAAATATCATCGTCAGGAAAAACTAAGATTCCGCCTGCAGAGTTATACACCCGATAGTGGGACAGCATTGATAAGAACCCCTCTTATAGTCTGATTACTTGACAGCCCGGCCTCGTCATTGGGTGTTCGGGTGAAGGATCATGGGAGCGCAGCCGCTGTCTCCTATGTCTGGACTGTGTCCAATTTTGCGACGTACAGCAATCCTACTTACACATAAATGCTCACGGGGGCTCCTGCCTGCACTGTTTGATATACAAGATGATTCACAATCAACTTTTAACAGTACTTGTTTAAGAGCTCTACGCACATATATCGCGAGTCTCAAGGCTACCTTATCCACTTGCTATTATACTGGCGTCCCATAAAAACCATGACACGGGGCACAGCATAAAGTGTGGCAAGCTGCAGCGCGTACGTGCGGCCTCGTCCTGCAGCCCACGAATACGTCTCTGGATTGGCCCGAGGCAGGCCCCCTGGTATCTAAATAGGCACCTCCAATGTCGAGGGTGGTATGCATGCGGCGAAGATACTGTATATATAGATCCTTGTTGGTGCCTACAAAAAGAGCCAGTAGTTTTCAACCTTCTTATAATAATCAATAATCTATCTGCTACTTCTGACTGCATATGTTCTCATTGAGGCGCTTGTAGCTTGGCGAACTTATTACTGATAGATGTTTAAATGGTTATTGCCAGGCCAGAACGCTGTAATACCGTGTAGTTATCACTTCCATTGATATGAAGAAAGCTTAAAGTGCAAAAGTACAAATAGTTATTCTACCTCGGGTAAAGCTATCGCAACAGCACAGTCACGGTCACATTGCCCAGAGCGCCACTGTCTCTGTTGATGGGCGACGTATTAATATGATACGGAGAAGTGGCTGGGTCATAGTCCCTGATCTGGAAGTCATTCGTCTTCTCACCCCATGGGCAGTTGAAGTAGACACCGCAGATCTTCTGACCACCCAGGTGGATGTTGAATCCGCCTTCGACGCCGGAAGACGAGTCTGAACGGCCAGACGCGGCCACAGTCACCTGCGCTCCTGGAGCAACAGTGGTCTTGTTGACTTGGGCAGGCTGGATCTCATTATTCTTGTTGTCGCCTTCATAGAACTTGCCCCTGGGGTTTTTGTTTCAGTTTGGGAGCTCTCTAGTACAATGACTCTCATGTAGAAACGGCGTCTCCCCGATCAACATACCAAAGAACATAAGCGTCTTGCACGCTAATGATTCCAGAGTTAACAATGTTAACGATGGTAACAGAAACCCATTGTGCGTAAGCCATGGTGTAGAAGTGATGTATAAGAGTTTGGTTGATTTGTTTGGTGTAGCGGTCAAAAGTTGAAAAGATGATGAGAATGAATAGATAAATAGTCCTTGAACCCAAAGGAAGTCTGATAATTATATACACATCACGACAGCGACAGCTCATCACGGCAGCGACAGCCGGCGGCCCATGCTCGCCGACGGGTCGAAAGTGGCGCGTTGCATTTGCCGAACTGCCCCATCTGCTACCGCACCCGTGCGTCCCGAAGTCGCTTCAAAGTTCAGATTGCACAGCTACTTGGCCTTTCTCCGCAGTTAACACGAGCTATATTTGAGCATAGCCGGGGTTACGGACTGTCATGACTCGAGTTACGAATTACCCCAGCCAAGCCATGTAGTTGGGCTGTGCTCAGTATAAGCCGGGCGCAAGTAATTCGGCATCTAAAATAGTGACCGAGTAACTTCAATTGATTATACGAAACATGAGAGTCTATTCTTTCATGATGATGATTTATTTAATAAATCAATGAGCTAGTTATATGTCATGAATCAGGTAGACTATATTCAACAAAATATAGTATTCTGTTCACTCGTTTTGATGTTACATTGGCTAATCAGTACCCGAAAAAGGCATCTGTGGACTCGGAAAGGTTGGTCCGTATAGTGCATTGATCACGTCGGTTCTGTCCAGGCCCTGCCAATCGGCAGAAGTAAAATGAAAACCACGTGTCATTCATTTAGAGCTGGAAGCCTGATATATGACACAATCTATTCCGTCATGCGGAAAGACTCCTTGGCAATGCTGAGCCTCGCTATTTAAACTTGTCATCTCCCTACACCCAATATCAAACGCCACTATTCACATCTTGAAGCATCAAATCTATCACACACTTTTTGTTAACATCAATCATCAGTAGCATAAGATGCGAATCGGTGTTGATACCTCTGTGCTGGGCAGATTCCCAGTGGCTCTGCTATTCTGGAATGTTGCATATGGCGAGACTGTGCCATTTTCCAATGGTTTGACTCTTGGTCAAGGGTTAGTTGAGCTCAGATTTGATTTTACACAGAGTTTCGCTATCTTCGTTCTGACTGGTCTCACAGCTACAACACATATCTCAATCATGGCTGTCGTCATAACGCAGTCAATGTCTCTTTAAAGCCCGACTCTCAATCTCCGCAGCTCCAGATTGATTACCGAGCTATTCAAATCAATAAATACGAGTCAGTTTCTCTGGTGCTCTCTCACATATTGCTTCTCTGGTTACTTACTTTTACGGATAGGCAACTCGTCAACGTCCTTGAGACCAGCGCTGGTGCCGCTGTCAAGGCCACTGTAGAGTCTGGCCCTTCTGCCGGTACAACTGCATCATTCCTAGATAAGAGTTCAGTAAGTATGGCTACGACCATGGGCCAAAGTCTTTGTTGCATTCAATCTTGGCTCATTATACCCTCGCTTTAGTTCGAAAGTAGCTTCTTGACCTATGTGGTCAAGGTCGACGTGGAGAAGCAGACCTCGTCGGATGCTAGCTTCGCTCTCAACTGGGACAATGCTGCCGATATCTCAGTATACTGCGATCGCTTCATCAGCCGTACGTGACTTATTCTACTATTTTTTTTTTTTTGGCGAGCTGACATGTTCTATCAGATTTCATAAAGGGCGGTGCTCTCTTTGCGCGTGTCGACATCAAAACGACCGACTCTTCCAAGCACAAGGCTATAGAACAATCGTAAGTACTCAAAGATGCTTCAGAAGGATAGCAAAATGAAGATACTAACATGGGAGAAGAGCAAAAGCTGCATTCAATGCTTTCGGAGCCAACGTCGAGCTGACACAGTCTCTCAAGACTAGCATGACCGAAATACAGAAGTCGTCGGAGGTTGATATGCAGTTCGTGTACATCGGTGCACCTTCAGATGCGCAGCAGACTGTCAGCGGTAATGGCAGTGGTGGCGACGCGGCCCAGCTGGTTCAGCTAAAGACCATCGCCGACAACTTTCTTGCTCGAGCCAAGGATAGCGAGTGGAAGCGCCGGTTAGTCTCAGCCAGGTATTGACGTTGCTGCGATATGAGAGCTAACGCCAGTCCCACAGTGCGGTTCTCGAGAAGTATGAGCACGTACCAAACTGGAGCAAACAGTTCCAAGTCCCCGACTATACCACAGCCAAGGATTATGTAAGTACTTTGAGGCGACAAAAACCTTGTCTGACCATTTCTTGTCTCTTTCCTTCCGGTCTAATCAGAGTACATAGAGTTGGTCCGTGTTCAAGGATAGCAGCAGCTATCAAGCCTTGTTGAAGGGGGCTCAACAGAGTAAATACTCCAGTCACTCAATCGGCCAAGGCTCATGAGACAGAAGCCACTAACAAATGCAGTTTCTCCCGAAAACTACATTGGTGGTGCTACGACAAGGAATCAGGTTCTTGGTGTCATCAACAAGGCTCTATCCGATATATTGGATTGGGTAAGAAAGAGGGCTCTTGAATGCCGCAAGAGAAGATTTCCGTTAACCTTGCTGCACAGGTGAAAAAGGTCACCGTGGACCCAGCATCGGCAGCGAAACTTCCGGCCGTGACTGCCCCGGGAGAATATTTCGAAACCTTTTTGGTGAGTTTCAAGGGCCCTCTGTGGTTTTGGCTACATGGAATCTTACACAATTTGTTGTAGAACTCACTCACAACAACCAAGTATGTCGCTCAATCTTTTGAGACGGCAAGCCATGTTAGCACACATGGTAGGTCCTTTTCTTGCCTTGCTTAGCGGGGACTATAAAAACCAAAAGGAAAAAAGTAAAGCCCCTTTTAGCTCACAAGAAAGCTAACACAGTCACGCAATTACAGTCATCGAACCCTCGCTGCGTGATGGGGCGACCAAGCTTGCCGACGCTGAAGCTTTTGGCTTTGGCACTGTCGCAGGCAGCATCAAGGTCGCCTTTGGTAAGAGCCTTCAGGGGGAATCGTACGTTTGCCTCCCAGACCAGCCCATGGCACCTGGATCCAAGACCATCTCGGAGCTGTGGGGGATGAAAAAGGCAACTGGTAATTTTAGCAAGCCTGTCCATGTCGTGCCCGTTCCCCAGGTGGGAGTCATCCGACTGAGCACCGAGGCGCGGGCCCCGGCCGGCTCCTTATTTACGTTCTTTACTAAATAGACATGGGTCAGCTGGAGTCACAATAGGATGGAGTTGGCAGCGCCCGCCCCCTGATGGGATGAAACAATACACATGGTCACCCCGTAAACACATTCTCGCTATCCGTACTGCTGGCACCGTGATGGGTTCTAAGATGTAGACGCAAGGTCGACCCCTGTGGCGTTGGACCGATATCGCTGTCATAATAATACAAGGCATACCGCTTCTAGAATGCCGAGACGGAATCATGTTTGCCGCTTAAAGAATACCGACGACCAGGATCAGATCTTGGCTAACCTAGGTAGTGGAGTAAATAGCCTAAAACATTCTCATCTGTATTCTCTTTCTAGATGTATGGAGACACAAAAATTACGTGCTACAAGTGTTCTTCAGGCGCTAATTGAATAGTGGAGAGTTCGATGGAGTTTCCAGAACTCTTTCTTGGTGATGCTATTTGCTATTTCTCTCGAGGTTCGTCCAGCATGCTGGAGCAACTCGCAGTGTAGGATCAGATAGGATTTTGTACAAAGCATAATTCGCCGAGTTCTCTGCCGAGACCAGGTAGGAGGAGCTGGTCGTCTAAGTTGCCAGGTGGTTGGGGTCTGTTTTGCCCTCTATTTAGTAAAGGTTCACCCATTCTGCGGCACTGCAATATCGCGTTGCGGCCAACTCAATTATGTGGGGATCAAGCTGCGGCGAAATGAGACACTATTTGTAACTAGTTACGAGCACTCTAATTTCATGATTGCATCTGTAAATGGTTGTGATGAGGCCATCATGATACGATTCCCAGTACAGTACAATACACCCCCCCCCCCCCTTCCTCCCCCTTTCCTGCTCATTATACCTGTCCGAGAATGCATCAGGTTTTCTTATCGAGCTCTATTGCGAATTGGTTTAATTTTGCAGCTGCCGAGATGCGCGGGAAGCAAGCCATTCCTGGACGCAGTCGACTGCTTGTTGCGGCGACTCCTGGTACTGGAGGAGAAAGGACATGACCTCAGCGGGGCTTACTTGTCGCTCTGGTAGTTTCGAGGCGAACGAGTCCGCCAGCAGATGCAGTTTGTCCTTTTCGCTAGAAGAATCCTCGGTAGGGTCCACTGGGTTCCGGTAGACGAGGTCGAAGAGGTTCTTGGCCGCGTTCCTGTCGGCCAGCGGGAACTCTACCCGGACGTCAATGCGGCCGGGGCGGACGAGGGCCGCATCCAGTCGTGCTGCATAATTTGTAGTCATAATGAGGATTCGACCTTCCTGCGACGACACACCGTCAATAATATTGAGGAGCCCAGACATGGTGGTGCCGACGGCGGCATCTGCAGGGTGGCCCGAGTCCGCGCCGCTGGGGCTGCCGCCGCCCGAGGCGGCGCGGCTTTTGGCGATGACGTCGACGTCCTCTAGCAAGACGACGCACCTTTCTGGCAGCTTCTCAAAGAGCTGCTTGAGACTGTCATCGGTGATTCCCGAGACCTGAATCCGATAAATGTCCAGGTCAAAATGCCCAGCCACAGAAAGGCTGAGACTCGTCTTGCCCGTGCCCGGCTGGCCGTAAAAGAGATAGCCGCGTCTGTACGGGATCCCGCGCTGCGCGTACCACCGCTGCGTCGCCGGATTCACGAACCGGGCCATGTCGGCGACGAGCTGCTCCTTGGTGTCGCGGTCCATGGCGACGGTGGAGAGGGGCCGGGCCACGCGAGAGGCTTCCTTGGACCAGGCGCTCCCGTGGTTGCCGAAAATGGCAACCCGCTGCTCCGTCTGGCGCAGGTGAAGCTGACGGCATTCTTCGAGCAAATTGCGCAGCGGCGCGGCGGACCGGCCCAGCGACACGACGGTGACTTCCTCCTCCTGCAGCAAGCCCACTTGCCGCATATGCGTCTTGAAGTAGACTGGGCGGCCGTGAAACCAAAAGAGCAAGGCCCCGTTCCAGGGCGAGAAGGTGATGCGTTTCTTGTTGTTGTTCTTGGGCGAGGGGCCGGCGGCCGCCGCCGCCTCTTCCTCAATAAGACCACCACCACGCACGCCTACGCGGGCAATGACGGAGCGAGCGCCCTTGTCTATTCCGGCGGCAAAGATCCAGCCGAGGAGCATATCATATGCCTCATCTGACTTGCGAATAAAGACGGTGTAGGCTGTTTTTTTAATTATTAACCATGAAGCTCTTTGTGAGACAAAAAAAATGAGAGGGGCTGCTGGGCTTGCTGCTCTCTAGTTACTGGTTGTCTTGTTCACTCACTGTATTGTTGGGCCAGAATCCGCAGTGTCAAGTACGCAATCGGCTTTAGTAGCACGAAAATGCCAATCATGTACAGCCATGTCTCATAGTGACCCCGAACCCAGGTAGGCAAAATGTCTGTGGGCAGAATTGGTAGCATTTTCGTCAGGCCAAGTTGGTATTGGGGGGGGGTTTGAAGCCTTCGGCACTACCAGGATGGACAGGCAGTATGTATCATTTCGGAAACTCCATTCAACAACAATTCTTAGGAACCCTCAACGGTGCAGGCAGATCTAAACCAACTAGAGCTATAGCGTCGCATGATACAGGCTGGTAGTAATGTATTTTGGCTTGCATGGATTACCGGTAAATAGAACAATGTCTAATACCGTCCTTAGGAGGTCATATGAGCCATTAGAAACGCAGAATCAGGCCTGATTTGGCATCGGGTCTCGGGTTGTTTCCGCTTTTATGGCTTGTGCTGGGCTGTGTCGCCGCTGCTATATCCCCATCTGACAGGCGGTGCAAAGCGAAGCTGCCTATCCGTACATGTCTGCATATAAGTGACTATCCTGGATTTATCTGTTCTGATAATTCTTTAGGTGACAATTCAATTCAGGAGAATTTTTTCTCGGTAGAAAAACGGTATTTCCGAGGTAAGTACGCCGAACTCGCTGGCTGGTAATAATAATGCCAAGACGTATGTATACTGGGAGCGCAAGCCACATATCGGCAAACTACTGAGCTTGTTTATCTTGCCCGAATTTCTCCTATGCTGCTTCTCTTGGGCTTCTTCAAGTTGCCTTCCATACAACCTGCCATTCAAAGTAAATAAACTTTTGGCACGTAAAATTACTTTCTATTTTTTTGTTTGGACCTTACCATGCAAACTGTCGGTCACGTAGGATTAGAATTGCCGGTCCGTGTCTCCACAGGGGTCATTATAACCACCTGGAGGTGCTATAGTATGGAGTGCGGGCAAGCATGATAAACCTTCCATGCAACGAACGCCTTGTTCCGTCGGCACGCGGAGCAAAAGATCAGGCCATTGGTTCAAAGACGGGCGACCAACGTAACTCGGGCGTTAATAGCTACCAGGGTTCACTCCTGGGCACCTACCCAGCCCGTATATCCGTACGGCTAAGCCACCCGCTTTCCACACCTTCCTAAATAGGGAATATACTACAGGAGGCTGTTGTCGACGTTTCCATGCGCCCACGCTAAACGCCCACGCTAAGAAAGAAACTCGGGTTCATGGCGCTATTACGTGTGCAACTCGTGTCGTCGTCGGCACTTAAACGGCCCTCAACGAACGAGTTGGCACCTCAACGTGCCTATATTGGCAATAGTACAACCAAGGCGATGACAGGGATCTAGCTGCGGTTGAAACGGGCATCCAGTGCAACAAGCAGACGAGTGTATAGTCAAGGTTCAAGGTTCAAGATGGAGTGATGTATCACGAGTACTTTTGTCCTTGAGTTTAACATGATTATATTTGTTTGATGTTTTTTCGTTGTTATTTTACCTATAGTCTATAGAAAAACAGATTGCATGCTTTTCTCTAGTACATGTGCTGGCGCCATGCAGTAGCTAAATAAACTAGAGGCTCGGTGTAACTTACTGGTAGGTCTATTTTTGGACTGGAAGCCCTTATTTTCGCTGCTGTAAAACTACTTGGAGAATTCGTATACATGGGAACTCTCCATTAGCGCAAGATAAAAAAAAGCGCAGTTTCGTTGATTCGCGGAACCTATCTAGATTACATCTTGCAGCTTTGAAAAGTCAGAAACACCAAAACCCGTGGCAGCTTCAATTTGCAGTTGTCGAGAAATGCAGCCGTGCTAAAAGATAGAAGAAGCTAAAGGCATCGTTACCTCGGCTTTTCGAGGCTTGAATACCTGTCACAAAAGTGACATTGGTAGTGCGATCGTATGCGAATACCCTAGACTTCTACAACATGAATCACAGGGCAACACCACACCAGATGCTTGAGGTTGATTTCCCTGTAATGATCTATCAGTAGTGAACTACCAACTAAATAACAATATTAGTAGTGAATATATATTTATTATATGTATATTCGTGGAATATCTTGTTCATTACTAGCATTCTCGTACAGGCTGTTCAGCTCTCACGCCTCTACGTGAAAGCTCCTAGGTTTGAGGTCACGGCTGACAATACTCAAATTCCTTCGCAGTTCCGACTGATCTGAGGAATACTTCGACAAGAGGAACAATAATATAGCTATAATATTACTACTCAATTTAGATTGCAATATCATTTGGTCGGTAGAGACATCGTAGCTAGATCCTCGAAAAGTAAAGCTTGACTAGTCTTCGCCCTCGGCGCCCCCCTCATTAACCATAACCTGAGCCGCACTAGAAGTTACAGTCTGCGCTTCACCTTGACTCGGAAATCGACCGGCTTAACAAACCAAACGTTTCTCGTCTTCCATGGTGCATCGCCATTAACCGCTTCGAAATCATACTTCCTGACAAGCAGCGGCAGGATCTTTGACATTTCCAGAATGGAAATGTGTCGCCCAATACACGCCCTCGAGCCCAGCCCAAACTATGAATCCAGCGGTTAGTATGAAAATTAATTCTCACAAGACTCTGCAGAACGACTCAAAGACGACTCACTGGGAGGTAGTAGGCGTTCATCTGCTTCAGCTTGTCTTCATCCTTCACCAGCCACCGCTCCGGCCGAAACTCGTGCGCATCTTCCCCAAAGACAGACTCGTTGTAATGCGCACACCAGCCGTTCACTCCTACAGTGGTTCCCTCGGGGAAGTACTGCCCGCCGAGCTCAACGCCGCCCTCCGCCACGTCCCTCCACAGCGGAAGACCGGCGACGGAGTGTAACCGCATGCCCTCTGTAATCACCGCCTGCAGGTACGGCATGTTCTTGGCGTCTTGAAATCGCACATGTCCAGACTGATCAATCTTGCCATCTTTGCACATCTCGTCCACTTCCTCCCTCAGCTTCGCCAGCGCGTTGGGGGTTCGCATCAAGTAGTAAAAGATGGCAGTGAGCGTAATCGCCGTCGTGTCGGCGCCGGCGACGACGTTGATCAGCCCCATACTAGAGATGTGGTTGTCTGTTACTTTGTTGGGATCCTGTTCATTCTGGTCCAGCATCCTGTCGAGAAAGCTCTTTGGCTTGTTTTGGTCGGATGTTTCACCCAGCGATGCTGCCGGCTTCTCCGTTGAGGCGGCGGCGGCGGCCCTCTCAGCCCGGCGCTCTCTTATACGCTTGCGCACGAAATTGAGCATATAGCTTCGGCCAGCAGCGCCGCCGATGCCTAGCCACTCGGTGACTCTGTACAGGACCGGATGTGTCTCTGGTAAGATGCCTACTAGTGCCCCGTACACAACGAGATCGTGCAGTGCCTTGATCAAACCAGCAACATCTTCGCCGCGGTCCAGAAACCCGAATCGGGTTGAAAAGGTAATGTTACCAATGACGTCAAACCCATAGCACTGAAACCAGTGCAGTAAATCAAATACCGTACCCTCATCCGCAAACTCGTCAAACCTTTGCACCATAAGTTCTGCGCATGTGTCCGCGTATCCTTCATAGCTCAGCAGACTTGTCATGCTATACAGCGCTTGGAAGCGCCTTCTGTCCTCCGCGTGCCGCTTCATTACTCTGTCTGGAAAGAGAGACCAGTGCTCGCCCGGTGCCTGCCAAGAATCGTACCACTCCGACTTGGGCATCTTGGAGCCCACGCGGTATATGGTGGGAACGGCCTCCGGCATGTCGATGCTGAACATGCCCGGCGCGAGGCGGACAACCGGCCCGTAGCGCCGATGAAGAGCACGATTTTCGGCGTCGAAGTTGCCATTGGCGACACGAACAAAGTACCAGAGACGGGTGAACCGGGCAAGGAAAGGCCCCGGAATCGAGCGCAGAGGCGACGTCACGGCCCGGATGATGGCGATGGTGACGACGCCTATGAGGAAAATTGCAATGACGTAGAACAGGAACATGACTGATGACTTGAGCTTGCAAGCAAGGACTCCTTTTTCTCAAAAATGTTTTGCCAATTCTTCTGTGCTGTTAATATGGTTCGAAACTTGAGGGGAAATCAGAAATACCAAATCTCTTATAGGTCATCAACTCAGGCAATGACGCGGGATAGGTGTTCGCTCCCCACCATGTGAAAGACAACCAGGCTTAGAGATTCGACCTCCTCCGCTCCGTCATTCACCCGTGGTGCATTGCAGGAAACAAGCCTACATTGCACATCACAGAATATTGATGCCCCTCGAGTGCAGCGCTGGCGATCCATACTATTTTGAGTTCTGGCGTATCATAACGCTCTCGAAAGCAAGCATGGAGATCCATGCCGCTGCATATGGGACGGCTTTTAGTCATACTGCATCCTCGCCCTGTGCAACTGATCCATACCTCGGATGCTCAACCAGGACCCTCGATGCTTGGAGTTCGCAAAAAGATTCCGCCTGTTAAAGGAAGTGCCGAGTCCCCTCTTTAGAGGATGTAACGCCGCAAGCCAGCATCGACTCAACGCTTTGTCTTGACTTTCCGGCTGGCAACCCTGCAGGATGCCCCATTAGCCTGCATTTATATTGACAGCCTCTCGAACTATCACCTACTCGTTGCCACCTGAATTGAGGCAGAGGCTTTGGTCGCAGCAGTCGTTCTCCTTGATGAGCGGCCTTTTTTCCCTTACAAGGGTAGTCAGATGAAGTTCTGTAGTGATAGCTTCTGCATAGGTGGGCAAAGCTGGTTTGAGAGAATATGATCATGACTATAGCGCAGTAGAGATACGAGTTGTCTTTCTCTGGAAAGAAGAGAAAAAAAAACACACTGCGGCAAGGTGTGCGTGTAGACTCGATGTGGTGCAGAAGGAGGTGACAATGATACGTCAGCTGGCAGCTGGTGGTGTGAAAGCAGATTAAGCCACACGCATTTGAACACGGGCGCAAGCCGGTTTCAATTTGCCACATATGTGAGAAACAGCTGCATTATCGCGCAGGATTGAAATTGCGCCGAATTCAGCACTGTCACATGTGATAGATGAGGCTGTCAATTTCGCACCTCAAAGCTGCGCCGAGTTAGTTACAAGACTTTTCGAGCGAGCTCAAAAAGATCGAAAAAGGCCTCTCTTTCCTTATCAATGGTTTTCAGTCCGAATCCAACAACCAAGGTCCTTCTATCATCGGGGTAGCGTAGCGATAGAAAGCTCGCAATCTGTGCTGCGTAGAGCTGTCCGATGGTTTCGCGCTCTTCCCCGCCTCCGCCCAGTAGCGTTGTTGGTGTGAGGTGTGTGGATGGGAGGAGACCATGGCTTGCAGCAGGAAGTGTCATGTCAACGCTGCCGGCAGCAGACGGCGTTAGGGGAACTTGGACCTATAGACGCGATGAGCTGAGGGGTCGCTAAGTTGCAACCGTTTGCTTACCCATTGTGATAGTCTCCCTTCTTGACTAACTGTGACCAAGATCCGATCAGAGTAACTAGTCGACATCACCTCGGTAGGGGTTCCATTCACGACTCCGTTTACTTTCTGACTCCTGGCGGGATAAGTATCTTCTTTGACATCAGGAGCTGACATTTTGCTGTGCTCTTGGAAAATCTGATTGGGTCCCGAGAATGCTTTTAACACCTTCACCGAGGGTGAGTATTGAGTAGATAGCTTGGTGTTACGAGCTCACCGCCCCGCACTAGTCCCGTTTTTGGTTGCAGATTCTTGCGGTCACCAGCGGCAAAATTGAGCTCCACCAAAATTTCCATGTAGTGCCAGTCGCCATGGATTCGCAGAATACACAAGCCCGAAAAAAGGTTTTGTGCAAGTAATCTTGGAACAAAGATCTGCCATATAGTGTCAATTCGTGCGACAATGGCAAAATTTGTTCCTAGACAGCGCAAGCACAAGGTGCTTGCCCGTGAGCGGGCCAAGGAAAATGGCCGCCATGACGTCGCAGACACTAATCAGGAAATCCTCGATTCGGCAGACAAGCTGGAATGGGCGGACAAGCGTGCACGCATGAAAGAGGAGCTCAGACAAGAGGCTGGGAAAATGAACTCGAAGAAAGCCAAGCGTCTCGAAAAGTACATTGACACAAAGCTACGCAAGGACGAGAACCGAGAGCTGCTTGCCAAGCTGGCTTCGAGAAAAATCGACACAAGTTTATTCTCTAGCAGCAAATCTTTGGGGCAAGGCCGCGAGACTAAGAAACAGAGTCTGTCAAGAGCACTTAGAGAAGCCAGGGCTGGGATTGATAATGGCGAGGAGCTCTTGGAGGAGAGGCGAGAGGCAGCCGAGGACGACAGCGACGAAAATGATGACAATGACGACAAGCCAACCGTTGCTAGAACACCTGCACCTGTAGCGATCGCGCAAACTGAAGCAAAGCTTACAGAGCTGAAAGCAGTCACTGCGCAAACGCCAGCCGTATTAGGGTCCGGTTTGAAGCGACCGCTCGACGTTACCGAAGATGGACGACCAGTTATCCAGAAGCGACAAAAACGAGGCGGAGTAAAATCCAAAGTCAGAGCCACGGTAGAGCGTCTCTCTCCGGAGAGTGAGAGTGGGACTGATGAGGATGAATGGAGTGGCATAAGTGACGAAGACGAGGAGTCGCAAGGCGACAATGGAGACAAAAATGACGAGGGCGATGACGACGACAGCGACGACAGCGACGACAGTGACGACGGAAATGACGACGACGCTGACGAAGAAGAAGAAGAAGAAGAAGAAGAAGAAGAAGAAGACGAGGACGAGGAGGACAATACAGAAAAATCCAAGAGATCTTCGATTTTTAAAGCATGGGCAACGCAACAGCGAAATGAAGCTCTGGGCTTCAACCCAACTGATTCGACGACCAGCAATATGGTGATACCAAGGCCAGAGAACTTTATTCCTCGGGCTCCGGAGCAAGATCCACTGCCTATGGAACTGCAACCGACCGAAAATACTGCAAGGAAGGCTTTCAGCGTCACGGTTACTAGAAAACCAGAGATCCAGGAGGCTCGCTTGAGACTCCCAGTCGTTTCCGAGGAACAGAGACTTATGGAAGCCATCCATAACCACAACATTGTCGTCATCTGTGGTGCTACAGGCTCCGGTAAGACGACGCAGGTACCCCAATTTCTGTTTGAAGCTGGATATGGAGCTGCGGAGTCGGAGACACCAGGCATGATTGGTGTCACGCAGCCTCGCCGAGTCGCTGCTGTTAGCATGTCCAAGCGTGTAGCAGAGGAGCTGGGCGACCACTCTTCAGCAGTCGCATATCAAATTCGCTTCGAGGGGAGTGTCGACGATAAGACTGCAGTCAAATTCATGACTGACGGTATCTTGCTTCGCGAGATTGCCCAAGATATCACTCTCAAGAAATACTCAGCCATCATCATTGACGAAGCACACGAAAGAAGTGTGAATACGGACATTTTGATCGGTATGCTGAGCAGAGTGATCAAGCTCCGTGCCGAGCTGGCCAAGGAAGACATCAAGGTCAAGCCGCTGAAGCTCATCATCATGTCTGCTACCCTTCGAATCGAAGATCTTACCATGAACCCAAACTTATTCCCCACACCTCCTCCAGTGCTTGAGGTGGAGGGCAGACAGCATCCCGTCACCATGCACTTTGCTCGCAAGACCCACCACGATTACGTTGAAGAGGCATTCAAGAAAATCAGCCGTGGGCACAGAAAACTTCCACCTGGTGGGTTCCTCGTGTTTCTCACTGGCCGCAACGAAATTCTCCAGCTCAGCAAGCGCCTAAAAACAGCTTTTGGCGGACTGAAATCCGCCGAAGGCCCCAGAGTACAGATATCAGCTTCCGAGGCACCGCTGGAGGTAGAAGATCTTGATCTCGGCGATGTGGATGACAATACGCATGATGACATGGACGAGATAGTATCTGACGGTGAAGAAGAAAAGGATGAGTTCGAGATCGAAGAAGAACAGGAAGCAGCGCCTCTCAAGGTGCAGATCCTGCCTCTTTACTCGCTTCTCCCGACGCGAGAACAGATGAGAGTGTTTGAGCCCGCGCCCGAAGGCACGAGACAAATCATATTGGCCACTAATGTCGCCGAAACCTCTTTAACAATCCCTGGAACACGATTCGTGTTTGACTGTGGCCGAGTCAAGGACCGAAACTACGACCGCCAAAGCGGCGTGCAAAGCTATGATATTGGCTGGATTAGTAAAGCCAGTGCGAATCAGCGCGCGGGTCGTGCAGGCCGTACAGGCCCTGGTCACTGCTACAGACTATACTCGTCTGCTGTATTTGAGCGTGACTTTCAGGAGTTTGCAGACCCTGAGCTATTACGCATGCCCATTGAGGGCGTCGTTTTGCAGCTCAAGTCTATGAACTTGCAGAATGTGGTCAACTTTCCCTTTCCCACGCCGCCAGAGCGACACAGTTTGGCCACTGCGGAAAAGCTATTGGAATATCTCTCGGCAATTTCCTCCAGCGGTCAGATTACACAAATCGGCCAGACAATGTCCGTCTTTCCTCTGTCACCGCGATTTGCGAGAATTCTACTTGTTGGACACTTGCACGACTGCCTGCCTTATACCATTGCACTGGTTGCCGGCCTGTCTGCCGCCGAAGTATTTCTACCTGAGGCGCAGGCTGTGCCCGCCCTTGCAGCCCAGGTGGATGGCGCAATTCGCACCAACGCTGACATTGTGGCCGAGACGAAACAAGTCAACGCGCGGCGCATGTTCAATGAGGTGCATCACAACTTTTGCTACCTCGACGACAAGTCGGATGCAATCAAGCTGCTACAGGTTGTTGGCGAGTTTGCCCATGACCCGACGGAAGCCTGGTGTGGAAGCCATTTTGTGCGGTACAAGGTGCTCAAGGAAATCCAGCAGCTGCGCAAGCAAATCACAGACTTGCTGCGGACGAATATCCCGTCGTTTGCCAGCCTTCAGTACAAAGACAAGCTGGACCCGCCGTCTCCAAAGCAGGTATTGGCATTAAAACAGATGGTTGCCGCAGGCTTCATCGACCAGGTCGCGATTCGGGCCGACAAGGCTCCCGTCCCCCCGGAGCAACACCGCAAGCCGAAACGTGCGATTGACGTGCCATACATGCCTCTGATTTCTCTACAAGGCGCATCGGGTGCTGCGAGCGAGGCCGGTCTTGTGTATATCCACCCGACATCGCCCATGGCGCACTTGAGCATCCAGGAGTGCCCGGAGTACATTGTCTACTCGTACCTGCAGCAGGCGACGCCTACTGGCGATGGTACAAAGAAACCGAAGACCAGGATGCATGCACTCACCGATATCTCAGGCGGACAATTGGCCGGTCTTGCCAAGGGTACATCGCTTCTCACCTACGGCAAGCCCATCAAGGAAACGCGTGCGCCATCGGCATCTGTGGACGGCGGTGCGACCCGAGAATGCTGGGTGAACCCATACCTGCGGGCAGAGAATACCGGAGGGCAGGGCTGGCAACTGCCGGCCAAGAAGGTCAAGCAGAGAAAGATTGCCGGCCGGGGATGGGTGGTGGAATAAAGTAACGCACGCGCAACAAGTGATGCGGTGTGCCTAAAGCGCGCCACGCATCGTCGTGTCTGGGGTACAGCATATCCTGCATTGCATGCATATGCGGTCTGTATTTTTTTTATCTTTATATAATGGCGTATATAGCGGGTGATGGGTATCAAGAAATGAGACAGGTTTTAGATGGAGCACAAAGCGTGACCCTTTGTGCGAAAGTCATTGGTGTAGCCCTTTGAGACGTGACCACACATGAAGACGCATGGTGAGGATGAAGAATTGTCATTTTTCGACTTGGCGGCAATACGACGCCGACAATGGTGTGTCGCGAGAAGCCCGGCCAGGCAGCCCTTCTAACCTGCGTCAGCCCTTCGGATCCTCCGGTTTCCGTTATACTAGGAATGGAATATGGCCGGACGTGTGGGGAAATGGGGGCTGCATTCTGGTTGTTCCTTTAGAGGGGAAAGGGTCGCATTGTGCACGCGCCTTTTAGACTTGGGCCTGCCATTGTTCACTAATAAGTACGCTTCTCGGCTATCTTGAAGCTGCCCTTTTCTGTTCCCTTTACTCATTATCCATACAATTACTACCAAATCTTGTCCATCCTGCTGCACTGAACTACACAACACACTAATTCAATAATTCTGCTCTGTCCAGTCTATTAGTATAGATTTGGGGTCGCTGCACGCCACGAATAGTCCGTCAGCGAGGCCCAGCCTAGTCAAGCCGATACCCGCTTACAAGTTACTACCTAGGCTTCTGCAGTTGTCAACGCAACAATACCAACAGGATAATCATGACCCTCTATCCTGGCGTCGCATTTGTGACTGGTGCAGGCTCTGGTGAGTTGATATGGAATTTTATAAAACAGTGTGCAGTGCCAATGTTCTCGAAGAATGAAAAGAAGCGGCCAAGTCAATGCGATGCAGGACTTGTCCTACATGACATATGATATTGAATGTGGAGGCCGAACGAACATGCTGCACATCAACACCACATTGCTCAAATTAACACTTTTCTTAGGCATCGGTAGACACACTGCCATGTCCTTTGCCAAGGAAGGATGCACCAAAATTACCATTGCTGACGTGACTCATACTGGGCTCATGGTCACCGAGCAGGCCATCCGAGCCATCGCTCCACAGGCGAGAGTCTACGTTGCCCAGATGGATGTGCGCGTGGAGGCAGACATCAGAAGAGCCATAGAATGCACTGCTGAGCGGTTTGGACGCATCGACTATGCTGCCAACTGCGCAGGTACGAACTCTAGCCCAAACAAACGCATCGGATGGATGCGGCTAACACGTCCGGCCGGGGGGCGGAGGGCGCAGGCATCTACGGCCCGGAAGCGGCTTCGCCTGATGTGAAGCCATCAGACTTTGACAATGTCTTTTCCGTGAATGCCCGTGGCGTGTGGCTCTGTACTCGGGCGCAGACGCGCCAGATGAAGATGCAGCAGCCCCTGCCGTCGCATGATGGTAGGCCCGGCGCGCGCGGCGCCATTGTCAATGTTGCTAGCAGCCTCGGGATTTCACCTATACCCGGCAAGAGTAAGAGACGAAGAAGCCAAATGGCGAGGAGCGACTGCGCTGGCAAGAAAACAATTGCTAATCATGGCATGTAGCACCGTATGCCGCGTCGAAAGCGGCCGTGATTCAAATGACCAAGTCGGATGCCCTCGATGTAAGCCACAAGAAGTGACGCAATGTCCTGCTGGATGAGGATGAGAGAAGCACAGAACTAACGAGGGAATTACAGTGCTCGCCCTTTGACATTCGCGTCAACGGCGTTGCCCCAGGCATCACAGAGTAGGCAGAGCACTGTTTTGCCGGACCTGACAACTTGTTTGCTGACCAGCGACAGTACACCGTTCACCAGAGACATTCCCCACGATGGTGATGCGGTGCGAGGCATGCCAGTACCGCGAAAGTCCTCGCCACAAGAGATTGCAGACGTGATTTTGTTCATCGCAAGCTCCAAGGCGTCCTTTTTGCAAGGCGCCATTATATCTGCAGATGGCGGACACACTATATAGACCTTCTCTGTGGTCTGTCTCTGCCGTGGTTCAAGTAGGAAGTAGGGTATCGTCAATAAACATGTAGCTATCCTGTAGCACTAACCACAAATGCAAATAAGAATTGTCCCAAACGCCCGATGCTGCGAAAATAGTCCACTTCTGGCAAGCTTTTTGAACGTACTGCTCCTGTTGCCTCAAGCTGCTGTAGGTGTACGTGTCGCCGTGCCACCTAGCTTGCTCTTCTTGCGCTTCGGTTTCGGCATCGCCGACCGCGGCGCCTTCTCCGCCTTGCCGTCCTTCTTGTCGTCGACCTTTGTGTTGAGCCGCGGCGGCCCCGTCATGGCGCTGATACCCGTGGGCGCCTTGTTGGCCTGCGGCGCCACGGCGGGCTTGCGGCCCGTCGACGACAGGTGGAACTCACCCGGTCGGCCCGTGATGGGATTCTCGTCGAGGTACTCGCCGCCGTGCCGCATGTGTACCCAAAATGCCTCCTCAGCCGATCGTTCCAGCGACAGCTCCTCGATATTACGCGGCGCAGGGGCCGTCGCGCTCTTGCTGGTGGCGCCCGAAGCGGGCGTGCCCTCTTTTGAGTCCTGCATGCGCGCGCGCGCGGCCTGGAGCGCGCCGGCTGGGCCAGTCGCTGCCACGACGGGCGGTTTGTAGCTGTGGCCGCCGGAAGGGCGCCATCGTCGTGCGGCTTCAGCAGCGGGGAGAGCTTTCGCGATGGCGGAGGATATCGACATCTATCGAGGTTTCCTTTATTAGCTGTCCCAATAAATCGGGGCCCCATAGGCAGGTCTACGCACGATTCGCGCCGCAAGGATATCTGCGAGCGTGGGCGCCATGTAGATGTTTTCATTGACCACGAAATACGACGCATGCACCGTAATCTCATCCGCTTCCTGGTAGCGCTTTCGCCTCGTCTGCTTGCGAATGACCCAAACGCCTGTGCCCATGCCCGGACCCGACTCGGCGGGCTCCTCGCCGACGATAAACTCGAGCCCGGACATGGTCTTGAGGCGACCCTCAAAGGCCTCGCGGGTCTGGATAAAATGGTACATGGACATGTTGTTCATGGCCTGGCTCATGATGACGGCGTTGTTGGAGGTGCGCTCGAAAAACGGCGACTCGGCAAAGTAAAAGAGAATCGTGTTGGAGTGCAGGCCGCCCATCTCGTGAATGAGCTGTGGCGAGTGCCATTGTATCTCGTCGAGCGGTGGATCGCTTGGGTTGTCCATTTTCAGTGGCTGGCGAGTTGCTTTGAATGATGAAGCATGGCGCGATGCAGCAGCGCGGAGCTGCAGGCGAAATGACGTGGGTCCGAGATCTTGCTGGTGGTGCAACGCCGGATTTTACTAAGCCAAATGCTGCAACACCTCATCTTTCACCTTGCACAAACAGCGGCCGACATCATAAAAGCCTTCTCGTCTGCATTGGATCACTCAATCAGCTTTAATAGAGTGAATCAATATTTGCCAACAGAACGGCCGAGGCGATGGATCTCCTTTCAACGATTCGAAAGACAGGTTCGCGCGGAGGCGTCAACTTTAGTTGGGACGAAGTCGCCAACTCGTCTCGCCGCGAAAATTACCTCGGCCATAGTCTCAAGGCACCTGTAGGCCGCTGGCAACGAGGCAAAGACCTGAATTGGTACGCCAAGGCCGACGCGACGGCCGCCAACGCCAACGAGACGCAAGAGGAGCGTGAGGCGCGTGAGCGCAAGGAAGAGCTGCGCAAAGTCAAAGAGGCCGAGGAGGATGCGATTGCACGTGCTCTGGGGCTGCCCGTCAAGCAGAGAGATACGACAGGCGCCAACTCAGTAGAGGTCGCAGACAAGAGGCAGATTGGACCAGCCTCTGGACCGGAGCAGGCAGAACCGTCAGCGGCGGACGGCGAGAGACGAGCCCGCGAAAAGTCACACCGCCATCGCGATGAAAATGGACGAGACCGAGATACCCGGCGTAGACGCCGAAGTCGAAGCAGGAGCCGTGAGCGCAACAGAGATGACGGCGAGCGACGCCGCCACAGGAGTCGCAGCCATGACCGGGGCCATAGAGGTCGCAGACAGCGGAGTCGTGAGAAGGAAGATGGATATGTAAAGGGAGAGAGGCATGAAAAGGAGGACAGTCGTGGGCGGGATGATGGAAGGCACAGAAAAGATCGAAGCCGCCATCGTAGCCGGGACCGCGGAGGATACAGACATCGGGATGACAGGTTCAGGCGCCGCAGCCGCTCCAGATCCTTCGAGGACAGGCGTGTCAAGCGTGAGCGAAGCCCGCGCCGGTGATCTGACTAGTGGCGCGTTAATTATCTTTTTGGCTTGAATTCATGGGACACTATTTCTGCCACAAGAATGATCCTTTGCTTCACATGGGAGCTGGTGTGAGCATTCAACAGCCCCCACTATTGGACGGCCACTAAAGTTGATCGGCAAGGCTTATAGCCCATTCATACATCATCGCCACATGGGCTTGCAGCATGTTGAGCTGACAACTACATCATCCAAAGAACGCACCATTCAGGAAAGGTCAATATGGTGCGCAGGCCTGTCGCGACCGTTTTTGGCGGGACACGAATCGGCAACAGAGAACTATTCAAGCCCGAGACCAATCTCGAATCGTTCTTGACCATCTTGCGTCTGCACAACATTACGACTATCGATACGGCCCAGGCTTATGGAAACTCTGAAGCTGCTCTCGGACAAGTATGCGCCGGTGCAAGATTCACTTTGGATACGAAATGGAGTCCTTCCTCCTGGACAGGAACGACGCCATGGGCCACCAAGGATCGCATCATAGAAACAGCAGAAGCCAGCGTCCAGAAGCTTGGCGCGGCAGCAGGGATATTTTATCTTCATCAAATGGATCGCCTCACCCCCTTCCCTGAAACTCTTGCTGCAGTAAATGAGGTATACCAGCGAGGGCATTTCCGCCGATTTGGCCTTTCCGGGTTTCCACCCAAGGACATCGAAGCCGTGTACAACCACTGCGTCGAACGCGGCTATCCTCTGCCAGCTGTGTACCAGGGAAGCTATAACCCGCTGAGCCGTGACAAAGAGATGGCGCTCTTACCGACCCTGCGCAGACTCGGAATGGCATTTTATGCCTTTGGGCCATCTGCTGGCGGCTTCCTCGGCAAGACGGTGGCGCAAGCGGAACAAATGAAAAGCAACATGGACTCTGTGTCGGCAACATGTAAACCCTATCTACGCCATCCGAAATATCTTGTAGCCCTGGCGAGATGGAACGCGCTCGCTGAGACCGAGGGCTTGAGTGCGGCGGAGATGGCGTACCGATGGATGGCCCATCATTCGGCGCTTGAAGGTGAAAAGGGCGATGCCCTCATCATTGGAGCCAGCAGCCCCGAACAGCTGGAAGAAAGTTTGGCAGGAATCGAGAGAGGGCCTCTGAGTGATGAAGCCTGCGCCGGTATTCAAAAGATATGGGAGAGTGTGGCAGGGGCGGCCTAGAGGCTTACCCATCTGCAATGCGGCACAGATACTGTCTATTGATCACATAATCCAGGGTCAACTCTCCATCACCAATTGGCAGATTGATATTGACTACGAAAATAGAAACAAATGTAAATTAGGCCTAGACGCTGAAAAAGTGACGACGATGTACGACCTTGTGCTAAAACGTCAGGCGCGCTGTGTCACAGACCTACAGTGGGACCTGTCGGCGGCTTGGCTCTCTCATACGGTATACCTTAGAACCCCGTGGGACAGATCGAGTCCGCCTCGCGTCAGCATCTGCCTATTCACGGCGTTTCGGAGACGAGGCAAATTTCTGCTAATCTTCGCCTCAGCCTTACATTCTGTCATTCTCATCACTGGCTCGCTCAGCTACGAATTTTGCCTCCCTGTTCTTTTACGCCCGACGTCCGACGCCCTGGCGCGACTAGCACTTCGCCACATTGAACCTCCAACGAACCCCGTCATCAATGCTGCCTGTTCCCCCGGCCATTCCTCTCAACATATCACATACAATGAGCATTTGAAGCGGTCTTCTTCTTTTTCTTGTTCTTGCATGCATACCCCAGCGAAATGGATTATTCAAATTTACGAGCGGCCGCCCTGCGCAACGCAGAAGACGAAGAGGCCGTCACCGTCGACACCAGAGCCTTGATCGACAAGGTTTTGGCGCGCTATTCTGGAGAATGGACGACGCTGCGAGAACTGATACAGAACGCCGCAGACGCGCAGGCCACATCTGTCACCGTGACTTGGGAAACGCTGCCCTCGACAAGTGTCCCCATGCCGAACACGACCGACCGATCAGACCAGCTGAAACACGTCGTGGCAAACCACACACTGCGACGACTTGTCGTCCAAAACGATGGCCAGTCCTTTACTCAAAGAGACTGGGGGCGTTTGAAGAGAATTGCCGAGGGAAACCCAGACGAGACCAAAATCGGCGCGTTTGGTGTCGGCTTCTACAGCGTGTTTGCCGACTGTGAAGAGCCATTTGTCAGCTCCGGGAACGAGGCCATGGCCTTTTACTGGAAAGGAAACTCACTCTTCACCAAAAAGTCCAAGTTGCCCGAAGCGCAAGCCAGCAAATTCACGACCTTTGTTCTCGACTATAGAAATACCACGACGCCTATGCCAAACCTGTTATCGGTTGGCCAATTTCTGGCTACGAGTTTGACATTTGTTGCATTGGAACATGTAGAATTCAAAATCGACGACTACACAATCCTTTCTCTCAAGAAGAAGACTTCGCCTGTTGTCGAGCTCAGCTTACCCAGAGATCTTGTGCCAAAGACCAAGGAGGGGCTGATGAAGGTGGTTGGGGTTGACAGAACCAGCACGCAGATTGATGCATCCTTTATGAGTGTTATTGGCTGGAAACCACAAAGTGCGGCTGCTACTAAGGCTGCCGACTCTTCCAACTCGACTGAATCATCTTCATTACGTTCGTTCTTTTCTCGTTTGGCAGCAAATGCTTCCGGCGCAAAGTCCAAGGCAGCGGCAGAGGAAAATAAGGCGCAAAATATCATTTCCGAAGATGTCACGAAAGTTAATACCTCTTCCATATTCCTTCGTGCTACCTCCGCCAATATCCAGACGAGCGTCTCTTCTGCATTTGCTTCTGAGCTGGAACGAGCTACGAAAAAGCCGCCTCCAGGCAAGACCAGGGTGTCAATTCTAACTGCTTCGTTCGACGAAGCCGCTGCCTCGCAAGAAGCGTCATTGCAAGACGGCACCGGCACCGCTACCGACGTCTTTGCTTCAGTCCTGCCTAACAAGAAACCTGGTGGACGCATCTTTATTGGCTTTCCCACCATGCAGACTACGGGAGCTGGAATGCACTTGTCTGCTCCGTCTGTCATCCCTACAGTTGAGCGTGAAGCAATTGATTTGAATGCGAGATGGGTGCGCACGTGGAATATTGAACTTTTGAGAGCCGCCGGCATCATTGTACGACTGGCATTTGCCAATGAAATGGCCGACTTGCATAAAAAAGTCGTTGGCAGCGTCGAGCAAGGTGCTAAAATTACACAGGCAATTATTTCCAGATATATGCCAGAAGCGCTCCACATCCTCAGCACGTACTCATTTGCAGATTCCACTCCTAGCTCACAAGTCGGTCAGATCATGGAGGAGTCTTTCTGGACCTGCTTCACAAAGGCCACCATCGAAATGTACTCAACACGAGGAGTCTTGCAAACATTGCAGGTTCGCTTGGGGATCGAAGAGCTCAATTCCTTTGTTGATAGCATTCCAGTAGTGCCAAAACAAATGTCTGACGCTCCGTTCGTCAAGAAGCTCGTTGATTTTGGACTGCTTATGCCCATCAATATCGGCGATATCAAGAAAGAGCTAGAGGTCAAGGCCTTGAGCAAGGCTCAAGTTATCAGCTTGATCACTTGGCTGGGCAAAAAGACCGTGGCTGGAGAGCTGGATGCCGGCAGTCGCTCCGCTTTGCTCGAGGTCGCCGTTGCCGTGGTGAATGAGGAAGCTGACAGTGGCGAAGTGATAGCATTGGGCAGCATCACCAACTATCATAGCTTGGCACGCATACCCGCCAACATGCCAATACCGCCTAACACGATACCATTCTCCTTCATTGTTAACTCAAGCGTTTCTGAACTCCAGGCTTTGGGGTGGGAGCCTCTGGAGATTGTACCTTGGTTGAGATTTCTCATTGAAAGCACAAACAGTCGAACCGAAGAGGAGAACTTCACCAAGTCTGCCAAATTTGCTGTCCAAGTATTGACCGTTCTGTCCAAGAATTGGGATACATTGAGCAACGGGAGCCGCAGCACAGTTACCACTTTGTTGCAGAACAGAACAATCATGCCAACAAAGTTGGGCATGAAATATCCTACAGAGGCATTCTTTACAACTGTCAAATTGTTCGATGACTTGCCAGTCATTCAGGGTTGTGAAAAGGTCAAGGAAAAGTTCTTGGTAGCCATTGGGGTGCGCAAAACACTCGACTTGGAGACAATCTTCACTCGGCTGCTAAATACCTCAGAAAAGGGAGGCAAGCAGAAATGGAGCCATATGGAGCTAATCAAGTATCTCACCTCGGTTCAGACTGATATTCCCTCTGCGGACATGAAGAAGCTCAAGGAGTCAAAGATTTGCCCCGCAGAAGCTGGACCGAAGGGTATGGAGCCAACAAAAGGTACCGATGCATTGTTCAAGGCCTGTGAGCTGTTCGAGCCGCAAGAGACTCTGCGCGCGCTCAAACTGCCCATACTGCAGTGGCCTGGACCTCCTGGTAGCTATCGCAGTAACAGTGCCGAAGCGCTATTCTTGAAGAATTTGGGTCTCCGAACGTTTCCTTCCGTCCCCGAGTTGGTGGAGATGATGGCTTCCAAAGATTCAGCGTTGCGGGCAAATGCAATGACATACTTCATCACCAATCATCATCTCAACATGTACGGCGCTTTCGATATGAGCGCCTGCCGCAAACGGATTCTTCCCTTGAAAGACAGCAACGAGCTTGTCATGCCCCCGGCCTGCTTCACAAATCCACGTGTCACTGTGCTCGGCTTCTCCGTGTTGAGACCTGATTTACATGACCACGCCAACAAATTTGGCGTCGCAAGAGATCCGCCAATGCTTGAGTGTGTCAGTCGCCTCCTTGCGTACCCGCCTCAGGACCACCAGTCAGCAGTTAGGCTTTTTGGATACTTTGCATCCCGCCTGAGCGAGCTAGGCGACAAGATTGTACTGAGACTTTGTAACGCCCCTATTGTACCCATTTCTCGGTCGAATAGTGGCGGCGTAAAGGAGAAGGGCGGACAGAGCATTACTTTCATCCCGCCGTCTCGAACATATCTTGGCAGCTCGCCGACATACGATGCCATATTTGACTTTGTAGACTTTGGGAATGATGCAAATGCGTTCTTATTCAAGTGTGGTGCTCGAAGTGAGCCAACGAAGAAGGAAGTCGCAGAAATGGCGTGCAGCGAACCGGCACGGCTACTGTCCGCTCTCGACGGCATCGACAAGTACTTAAATCTTCTCAAATCCCTTGCGGAGGAGAGCCATATCTTACAACGTGACAAGGCATTATGGAAACGGATGCAGACTTCCCGATTCTTGCCGGCTTACAAGGAAGTTGCAACGACAAAGGGCAATCTCATTGATTTCGAAGATGAAGTCGAGCCCGTGAAGCAATATCAGCTTGCAACTGCCAGCCAAGTTGTTGTGTTGGATGATATCGTCAGCTACCGCCTATTCAAAGATCATATCATTTGTGCCCCTGAAGAGGATCTGCTTGAGGATTTCTACGTTCAGCTTGGTGCACGCAGGCTAAGCACAATGGTCGAAGAGGATCTTCGTATCGGTGGTCGTGCCACTAGAGACACCATTGGCCAGGGCTTGCGAAAGCACGTAATCGAAAGAACCAAGATTTTTTTGTACGAGTACGCCCACTACCGACGAGACTTTATCAAAAACGACGCGAAGTGGCTGGACTCGAATCTCGTCGTCGAAGTTGTCCGCTCTGTTGCGCTGCGAAGAACACTCAAAGGGCAGAGTCAGTCGCACGCCGAGCGTCGCTCTGCAGCTGGGTCTCACAACAATGGATCGTGGATCCTCTATGTCACAGATAGTGTGAAGCCCGACATGTACCAAGTTGGACAAGCCATTTGTCAGATGTTGCTGAAACGCCCAAATCAGCAAGCGTACCTCTTCTTTGAACCGTTTCTAACACTCGACCTGTATGCCCTGCGGGACAGAGGCTACAACGTGGACCGGATTCTTCGTGTCAAAGCGGCGGAGGCTAGGATGGCGGAAGAAGAGAAGCGCAAGGCGCTTGAGGAGGAGCAAACGCGAAGGAAGGAGCAAGAGGTCAACATGGCCAACATGGCTAACCAAGGCATGATACCGGAGCCGAAGGCAGCTGAGGCTGCCCGTGCTGTCCCCAATGTTCCAGCTTTACCAGCCGCTCCAGCCACTCCAGCTCAGCCCAAGCAGACACTTCCTGGCGCGTGGTCTTCACCGGACGATAATCCTCCAGAGTCACATAACAATGGGAGAAAGAGCAGGGGTTTGTTTTCCAATTTGACAAAACGGCTAGGCTTTGATTCTCCCTCAGAGGAATCGCCACCACCATACGCGGAGACAGAGCAAAGAGAAAGGCAAAAGGGACTGCAAGGAAGCTCTAATGATGGGCTCGATACCGGCAAAGTCACCAGCCCATCCGTGGTGCAAGAGAACCTTGCCAACGCAATAAACGCCACCCGTGCCCATGGCTCAAACTCTGTCTTTTCGCAGCCCGATGTCAAAGAAGTCAAGGAGCAGGCGACCTACTGCGACGAGAATTCGGCCAAGGACATTCAGCACGTGTCCAACGCGCCCAACGGGCTCAAAATTTACGCGGCGCGCCACCTGTCGGTCGACCCGCGGCAGTTCCTGTCGAGCCACCGCGGCGCCGTCAACGCCTTTGCCAATTTGCTGGTGGATGTGGGCCGCATTTACGGGCTCTCGTCGACGGTGCTGCACATGTACTATGATGAGCGCGGCAATACGATTGCCTTCAACACGGGAGGCAGCATCTTTTGCAACCTGCGCTTCTTTTTGCAGCTGCACGCGGCGCAAGTCGGCGAGGGGGAAGCCGGTGCGGGCTGGGCGGACGCGGCGACATGGTGGTGGGTGGTGATTGCGCACGAGCTGGCGCACAATCTGGTGGCGGTGCACAATTCGAATCATAGCTACTATACCGAATCATTTATCCAGCAGTACATGGGACGCATGGTGGCGCAGGTTTCGCAGTGGACGCAAGGGGGACAATAGACGGTTATGGGTATGTGTACCAATATCAGTGTATGTTTAAGACCTTTTGTGATGTTTTTGAATCTTTAAAAGCGTGTGTTAGATACTCCCCTACAATACATAGCATGTGCGCATGGGTTTTTGTTGCAATGGCGTGCTGCCATGAAGTTCCCGTCTAAGTTAGAGCCTGCATCCGAAGGATGGATGAGGCGCAAAAACGCAGCTAGTAATTGCGCGACAACATGGGGTATTTGTTAAATAAAGAAAGAACAATCAAATTCTTTCTCAAAATTTGAACCAAACTCGCCTTTAGCAGTATTTTTTCATGTCAAACCCATTTCATGGCCAAACCCAAGTCTTGATATCGAAGGCGTCACGTGCCTCTCCACGTGATCCAATCAGCGACGAGCTGTTTAGTCTTATGCCCCAAGAACCTCACCTGAATGGGTATCTGCATCCGACTCGATTGAACCAATTGCTCGTCCTCTTCTGCTCCCGAGAAGCGCCCTCGACCAACCTTGCACCAAAGAGCAACGTTTTGCTTTCGACACCGCCAATTTCATTTTCCCGCCGAATCGAGTCGAGCCAATTGCCCAGCATGGTCCACCGCATCGCATTCTGGAGCTGCTTCGGTACGTCGCTTGCGTTTTTACTCACTACGTGCACTGCTGGATATTTGGATATTTGTCGGGAGACAGAATCGGTGGGCTAGAGGGCCTTGTCTGTTGAGCATCACCAGTAGCCGCGGTGGCTGTGGTGACCATCTTCAAACAGTCTGGCCCCAGCGGCGGCTACCACCAAAGGGGCCTCGACTGATTCTTCCACAACCACGACCAACGAGGGGTTTTCGAGAGATTCTCGCTTTTTTTTTTCTTTCTTCTTTACTAACCTGTGTTCACGACAGGCCTTGCCGTCCGCTTCTGGCAGGTCGGCATCGAGATGCGTCCCTTCTTCAACCGCTCATCGCTGTGGGCTTACCCCGTGTACGCCCTCGGCGGCGCCAGCTTCGGCTACTGGCTGCAGGGCGTCGACGACCGCCAGTCCAAGGTGCTGAGCGAGCGCAAGGCGTTTTTGCTGCAGAAGCGCGCCCGCCACGCGGAGCGGGAGGCGGCGGCGGCGGCGGCCGAGTGAGGGGCGATTATATCCAGTGAGACAGGAAGCAAAGAAATGAAGATGGTGCCCGTCGAAACAATGATGCAATCGACTGCGGCGATACCGCGAGACGACTCGGGAGAGGTAGAAATGGACTCCGAGAGAGGAGCGAGTGAAAGCGATGATGGACATTTAGAAGGCACTTGTACAAAATTATGGTGTTAACCGTGGATGCTGAAAGAGCTAGTGAGGGCGAAATCTGTACATATCACCGATTGGGTTTATTTTTCGAATTGATGGCAGCTGAGGATAATTAATCCATCAGAACTGACCTACAATTGGTTTGTTCACTCAATCTGTTCCATTTCTGTCCTCCCCACGCACGGTAAATAAAGCACACTTGTAGCTTGTGGGTATACATGTTGATCAATGCTTGAGCTTCTGTCTATACAACTTCCTCCTACGTGGGGGTCCAAAGCGTCCAACTCCACGCAAAATAAAGCAACCAAAAATATGCTTCAAAGCTCCTCTAGCTTCCTCAGAATCGCCGGCACCGACTTGGCCGAGCTGTTGCCGAGCTCCGTGACCACCATGGAGATGAACTTGTCCGTCGTCGTGTCAAACAGCAGGCGAAACGCATCGCTCGAGTTGCGCTCCGGGTCAATCTCGTTGTAGGTGAGCGAGTCGGCCGAGACGCGCTCGGTAAAGTTGATGCTCTCGCAGAGGGCGACGACGCGCAGGCAGAGGTCGCGCGCGACCGTGGCAATGTCGCACGTGCCGGCGCGCGCGTAGACGGCGCCGTTGCTGAACATGGCCTCGGCGGCGACGAGCACGCACGTGGCACCCTGCAGGTTCGTGCGCAGCGCGCCGAGATCGTGCGAGTAGGCGACGGGGATGCCGGCGGCCGAGAGGCGCTGCGCGTGGGCGAGGCCGACGCGCTCAAAGGGGTCGTCGACGATGATGACGCGGAAGCGGCGGCCGTCGGCGCGGGCGCGCAGCAGCGCGCGCTCGACGAGGTGGTGCCGCCCGTAGGTGACGACGACGTCGTCGTCGGTAAGCATGTCGGCGGCCGTCTTCACAATGACCATGTCGGCGAGCGTGATGCGCTCGTTGACGTACGTGTCAATGGCCTCGCATAGCGCCTTCTTCGCGTCGGCGTCGGGCAGGTCAATGTCAATCTTTGAGATTTGCAGCTTAAGCCACCGAATGGCGTTGCCCATGGAGAAGCACATGGGGCGGCACGCCGTCAGGTAATCAATCTGATTCTTGAGCACGACGGATGTGAAGTGGCGGGAGAGTGTGGCGCCATGGGGAGTTGTGTAGGATTCAATGACCTTTGAGCAAGCTTTAGCAAAGACGTCACCGTTTCATCGAGGTTGTGCTGTAGTGAAAGGGGAATACTACCTTTTTAAACGCGAGCAGTGTGGCTTCTGCCCTTGTGATGCTGTCAGAAATGGCGAATGTGCTCATCTGCTGGCCTAGCTGAAGGATGACCGGGTGCACATCCTTGTCTGCCTGTGTAATATTCATGCGCTTGGCCATGGATAGGTGGCTAAAGCACTCGGGCACCGTCGCCTTGGGCTTGGGGGGCGCCTCCGCCACCGTCTTGGGCGCCGTTTTGCTTCCATGGGGGCCTGCACCGCTGCCGCCGTCCTGCTTGCCCTTGCCCTTGGCGGCAGCGGCGAGAGCAGCGGCAGCGGCAGCGCCTGGTGGCGCGGCGGCCGTCTGCACGGCCTTGGCCTGCAGCCGTCGCGCGGCCTTTTCCTCCTTGGCCTTCTTCTTCAGCTCAGCGCCGGATAGCTTCTTCTCGCCCGTGGGCGCGGCGGCGGCGGCGGCGGCGGGCGCACCTTTGGCCTGGCCATTCTGCTGCGGTTTCGACGCGCCAGCCGCGTCGCCTGCACCTGCGGCAGGCTTAGCCCCTTCTGTCGACATGTGAGGGATGAGCGGTGCTGGAGACGCGAGGTGCTGCTTCGTCGGGCGTGTGAGGTATCGTAGGGTTGCAGAAAGTTTGCTTTTTGCGCAGATGCCAATTGGTAGAGGATGGTTTTTCGTGTGAGAATAGCGTATGGTTCGTCTATGAGAGATATATCGGTCGAAAGTAATACGTCGTCGATCTGGCCTTTTCGCGTTGGGTCAGGTAGCTGTTTTGAAGATGCAGATGTGAAATTAGTCGTCTGAGTCACTTGCAAGGGCCGAAAAGTAGATGTGGCCAGCCTAATTAATGGTGCGCGACTGTGTTCCCCCACTTTGGCGGGGTGCATGTATTCAATATTCCTTTGAGCGACTACAATGAATTGCATTGTTTCTCGAACAGGTAAATTCGAAAAAAAGAATAAAAGAGAGGAAATGAAGAAGATGAAATCATACACCCGACTGTGACTGCTGCTGCTTACTTTCTACACGCGGCTATAGAATAAGTCTCGCTGTGTCGCTCTGGAACGGAGCCGAACAAATCTATCAGTAGTTGATTGAGAGAGAAGCTATCGACAATTGTTGCAGTCTTCTAAAGGTTAAAAATCCCACAAAGTTTATCAAGGTCAAAAAACGCCGCTCCATATTCTTTTTATGCAAAAATCAAACTCACACACTACCTTCATGCGCTCAAAGTGCCCTTTGTACTCGGCACTTCACCCTCCTTGCCCTTGACATGCGACGCAGCTTGACGAATGGCAACAGCCATGGCTTTGAAAGCGCTCTCGGCGCGGTGGTGGTCGTTGAATCCGTGAAGACAATGGACGTGGAGGGTAATGTGCGCGGCCTGGGCAAAGCTCTCGAAGCAGTGAGGGACCATTTCGCAGCTCAGCTGGCCGAGAAACTCGCGCTTGAGGCCAAGATCGATGACGGCATATGGACGGTTGGAGAGATCTACGACTGCGCGGGAAAGGGCCTCATCGAGGGGCGCGTAGGCGTACCCGAAGCGCGCGACGCCGATCGGGGTGCCGAGGGCTTTTTTGTAGGCGGTGCCGAGGGCGATGCAGACGTCTTCGGCCGTGTGATGGTCGTCGACTGGGCGTCAAGTCAGTATAAATGAAATTGTGTCGTATCAGCTTGGACATGGGCGTACTGTGCAAATCGCCCTGGCAGTTGATGGCCAGGCTCCAGCCGGCGTGCTTGGCTAGGGCGTGCAGCATGTGGTCGAGGAAGCCGATACCCGTGTTGAGGGCAATGGTTTGCGACTTGCTGCTCTGGGAGGCGTGCGCATCTTCGGACTTGAAAAGGCGAGCGTCGGTGTCGGGAGGGAATGCGCCGCCGTCAATGTTGAGGGCGAGCTGAATCTTGGTCTCGTTCGTGTCGCGGGCGAGGGCAGCCCAGCGGGGGGTGGCGGGTGAGGCCATTGCGTGTGTCGCAGGATGTATTCGGGAATATGTATATATGTTGTTCAGTTCGTAAGTCGTAATTATCGCTGGACAGAAGCAATTGAGTGTGGTGACAGATGGAGAGTTGGATGGCGAAAGACAAGAATATAAAGAGCTAAACTTTTTGGCCGTCTTCGGAGCTATTTGCCTGTTGAGTCTTGATGATTGCCTGGCTAACAGCAATGTGGCGCCTGGTATTGGTTGTTTTGGGCAGATGCGGGTCTCTTCGATGGTATTGCTGTTTTTTTTTTACAAAAAAAAATATGCCTGAGAGCATTCTTTGCCGAGTAAAATCTGGACTCCAGTAATTCCCTATTTCTCCGAAATCCGACTATCTTTTATTATGTATTTTTCCAAAACTTGCTCTACATCCGAATGCTAGAGCCGCGTAAACGTGTTTGGCTTGGAGAAGAGTTCTAGCGTTGCCACTGCTAAATTTAGGCACCAACCTGCAGGTACAGTGGGTGTACTCTCACACTGTCCTTCAGGGGGAAAAGTGAATTGTATGTGGTGTCAGTGGTGGGTGGCAAGTGGTGAGCCATGTTAACCGGGCACAAAATTCTCGCCTACCTTGCCCTTAGTTAGAACGTCACTTGGAGTTGGAAAAAGACGGCATGATGCCAAGAACATCATTGGGTTGGACAGCAGAATATTGAAAAGCTGCATTACTTGCCATGTAATCTCCCAAGTCCACACATACAGACAACGAGGCTCTGCGGTACGTCGCACCTCCTTTAGCCCCAGCCACGAGGCCAATTTCGACCGACGTGGCGTTGCTTCGTGGCACAGTTGCACCAGACATCCTGAAACTCTTTTTCCTCGATTTCACCACACCGTCTCATCAGCAAGGCTATATATTTCTTCCTTTCCATCTCGCATATTCTTTACTCCTTGTCCCCCTTTTCCATCATGATAACGTCCACATCAGCTCGCCTCTCAACATGTCGTTTCTATCCAGTTCCCGGTTGTATGGTCTAACCATCGCTAGCACCATACTCGGTCTGATTGCCTACTCTCGCATCATATTCTTTAGCACAGACTTGGTCCCGTCTTGTCTGGGGAAGCGCTCCACCTCTGCCATCATCCTGGCATCCATCTCCACCTTTACTCATTCCCCGATCTCGTGGTTCCATCAGCTCATCTCGACGTCGCAGTCGCAGTCGCCATCGCCATCGCCTTCGCCATTGCCTTCATCATCTGCCAGCATGGCTGCGGTCACAGTCCCCGAGCGGGCGCGCAGGTCCAGTCTTGGTGGCGATCTCCTGGCCAAATTGCCTAACGCCGTCATCGTCCGGATCTTCGAGGCCACTGCCGATATTTCCAAAAGCGACATCTGCAGCGTCTCCCGCTTGAATCGTCGCTACCACACCTTGGCCGACGCTGTTCTCTACAAAACGGTTCGCTTCCTTACACCAGAGCTTCATCTCATTTTTGGTCAATCTCTCAGCCGCAGACCCCGTCGCGGATCAGCTATTCATGAAATTAAGCTCGCCTACCCAGCATCACAACTTTCTGACGTCGTATCCAAGCTGCCAATCAATGGTGCTAGGGACTCATACGACAAGACGCTGCCCTTTGACAATCTGTCCCGGACAATCTCTACAATGTCCAACCTTGTCACTCTGGACATTGCGGTTCCCGAGGCCTTGCTACACGGTATCGGCCAGCTCTTCAATGGCCCATTCGACTTGGCCTGCCTCCAAACGTGCACCCTTTTTTATCAGTGCCCCGACGATCAATTTTGGGATCTACAGGAGAACATACACATCTTCGCCCACCCTACCCTGGAAACACTGGTCATTCGAAAGGCCCGTCTAGGCGACAAGCCATTCGACCTGCCAGAACGTCCCGAACAGACTGGTCTCAAAAGACTACATTTGATTGACTGCGACATCAGCGATGACGGCCTGTTTGATCTGATGCACCACCCAGCAGGGTTGACCGAATTTGTCATGACACAGTCTCCAGAACCGGGTCCAGACCTGGAGGAGACGTCAGACAGTATTAGAGACTACATCATTGCAATTGGGCCGCAATGCCACTCTCTCGAAACCATTACTGTGGATCACCCCCTACTCCGAGATCGAAGAGCTCTCTCCATGAGGCAATTCGCTAAGCTCAAGACTCTTCGCCTCAATTGGGACCATCAGCTCTTTGGCCACTCGTCAAAGAAACCTCGTCTTACGTCCGTCGGCATGCCACCTGAGCTCGAGACCCTCGAGTTCTTTAATCAGCTGGGCACCGATGATGAGGTCACAGATCTCTTCGTGGCGATGCTGCAGAACCTGAGCATCATGGCCCGCAAGCTGACGCATCTCATCGTCATGGAGAGCGAAGAGGATGAGAAGCCCGTCCCAAAGGAGGTGGAGGAAGCGTGCAAGACGCAGTCACAGCTTCGCGTGGACATTATTGGGCGGATGGACACTGTGGATTGTGGAGATGATGTAGTAGAGGGTGACAAGCCGGACTCGGCATGAATGGACGAGTTTGACAAGAAAACGGGGCTCGAGGGTAGAGGTTGACATTTGGATAGAATAGATGTGCGATTGGTATATGTATAGAGCAAGCGACATAGACGACATGATGGGTATATATTGGTTGACGTGAGAAGCATTGACTTATAAACAGCGTTTCAGAGGCCAGCGGCGCAAGCTTTGGATAGACTTACTTAGATATGATGGCGAATACATATAGTTCTGAATCTTGCTTTTTCTAGCTGGACTGTGCCTTGATCAGACACTACAGAGAAGCCATCAAAAACGCGGGCAGATTTGTGTAACCAAAGCTTCCCTCGTCGCAAAAGAATCTGACAATCTGCTCTTCCGAGGGACATTTTTATTGTTCTTGTACAAGTTCAGGGAGTCATTCGTCGGGGAATTTTACCTCAGCTCACAATACTCTGTTTACAACCCTACTGTTTTCCGAACTCGGCTTTTTGTACCACCAATATTGGCGTTTCATCATGGACTTCGGTAGAATTTGGAGATGGGCAGGCGAAAAGAACTATTGGGCAAAAACGGTGCACTTTATAAAAAGGTGAATATGGTTCAAAAAGTAAGTTCTCGTTGAAAAACTTGAAGTCCGGTAAAAAAAAAAAGTGCTTTTCATGTTATCTAGTGATTATTACCCTTTGTTCTGATGTCGCACCTTCGAAGTACACGAGATCTACACGAGCAACGAGCGCCTCTACTTTTTTATTTCTTATTTTGAATAGCAATTGCTGTTACTAGTCCGTTTTGTCTTGGTCATTTTGATCTTGATTACAGAAAAAAAAAAACCAGACATTGCTCACAATTACAGGCGTTGGTCGTCTATTGCACCACCAGCGCGGGAGTGGTGGGGTAGATTTCACTTGTAGCAACAGCAACCAGCGACGCGGTTCTCGGCGCGTCACAAACAGCTTCCATCACAACGTTTGTTGCCGCATCGAGGCTACGATGCCCATCGCCGCCACTTGTGTCCATATGCCTGTACCCTAGCGCTTGCCTTCAAAGAGTCATTTGGCAATGCCGTCCTCAGCCATGGAGAAGTTTCTGCGCGACTGGCGGCAGGATGCCCTCAACAAGGCGCAGCACGACTCGGCCATCTTTATCGGCGACAAGCTGCTCGCCATGACCAGTGCGCAGTCATGAGAACTGTTTGTTAGCGTGTATGCTGATCCCGTGCCAACAGATGACGACGAAGACGCTTTTTGGCTCGCCCAAGTCCACTTTGCTACCGGCAATTATACTCGCGCGCACGCCTTCCTCGCCAAGCAGGACCTCATCAACCGAAACGCGTCGTGCCGATACCTCGCTGGACACTGTCTCATCAAGCAGTCGCGGTTCGAAGAAGCCCTGGCGGTCCTCGGCGAGCGGAACCCGACGCACCTCATCGCCAACGGGCAGAGCAACAAGCGTAAGTCGCAGCAGCGGAGCACGCGCAAGCGCGACGAGGCGGCCGCGCAGGCCGACGAGGTCGAGGAGGCCAAGACGCGGCGCTTCGAGGCGGCCATGTGCTTCTTGCGCGGCATCTGCTACGCCAAGCAAAACGCCTTTGACCGCGCCAAGGAGTGCTACAAGGACGCGGTGCGCATCGACGTCCAGTGCTTCGAGGCCTTTCAGCAGCTAATGAAGAACTCGCTGCTCTCGCCCGACGAGGAGTGGCAGTTTCTCGACAGCCTCAACTTTGACGCCATACAGACGGAGCCTGACGTCTCAGCCTCGCAGGAGGCGGCTGAGTTCACAAAGATGCTGTACACGACACGGCTGTCCAAGTATAGAAATCCAACCATTTTTCAAACGGCGTACGATTCGCTCTCGACACACTACAAGCTGGGCGAGAATCCAGACCTGCAGCTCGCCCGCGCGGACCAATTGTACACGCAGTGTCGCTATGGTGAGGCCCTCGAGGTGACCAAGGCGGTGATTGAGAACGACAAGTACAACTTTAACATATACCCCGTGCACCTGGCGTGCCTCTTTGAGCTCAAGAAGAAGAATGAGCTGTTTCTGGTGGCTCACGATCTGGCAGATACGCATCCCGAGGAGCCGTGCACTTGGCTGGCGGTGGGCATCTACTATTTTGCGATTGACAAGGTTGCGGAAGCACGGCGTTATTTCAGCAAGGCGAGCATGATGGATGCGCATTTTGGCCCAGCATGGATCGGGTTTGCACACACCTTTGCCGCCGAAGGCGAGCACGACCAGGCCATCTCTGCCTACTCGACGGCAGCGCGACTGTTTATGGGCACACATCTACCGCAAGTGTTTTTGGGCATGCAAAACCATGCTCTGAACAACATGTCGTTGGCGGAGGAATTCCTCAAGACGGCCTATGGGCTGTGCAAAAATGATCCTTTACTACTCAACGAACTGGGCATTGTCAGATATCACCAAGATCGACCCAAGGATGCCGTACAATTCTTCCGGGCAGCTCTCGAAATAGCAGGAGACAACGGAAGCGAGCCGGCAGCCTGGATCGCGGCTAGAACAAACCTGGCACACTCGTATCGACGCTTGCGACACTTTAAAGACGCACTCGAGCAGTTTGACGAGGTGCTGCGCATGGGTGGCAAAGATGCAGCCATTTTTAGCGCCAAAGGCTTGATCCTGCTGGAGCTGAACCGACCACAAGACGCGGTCGTGGTGCTGCACGAAGCGCTCGCCATCAACCCGCAAGACAGTATCGCTACCGAGCTTCTCAACAAGGCACTGGACGAGTCCATGGTCGAAGACGCCGAGGAGGAGGAGGACGAAGGAATGCTCTATTTGGAGCAGCAGCTGGAGCAGCGCAAGGCCTCGGCCTCGGATAAGATCAATGGCCGGCGGACAGGCCGCAATATGATGGACAAGGGCAAGGGTCGCGCATTTGGCAACAGGCGCAGGACACTGCTAGAGGACGATGACGACGACGATGGGGATGCGGGTGTAAGCATGATGGACATGACGGATGATGAATAGAAACGGCACCGTACAAGATGGAATCAGGCTTGAACGGCGGTACATTGCGAGTCGCAACGCAATTTTTTTTAAAGCAGCATAATGGGGCGTTGATTGGCCGGGTAAATAGCATGTTTATCTGATGAATGCATCAATATTACATTTTCAATCCAATACTGTGTACGGATGTCGCTTTCAAAAGTTATGTCTGCCATGATTCCAGAAACAGGGATCTGACAAGGATCTTTACAGGGTAAATACATACGATACATAATCCTTGATCAAGATAAAATTACAGAACACAAAAATCTTACTACAGCCAGGTAGCTAGGTCAGTGTGTGATGGCTTCAGTACGCCCCTTGTACAGCGAGAGAGTATCGTAAGGTACCTTCTAGGGACCCTAGTAATGGCTTGGTTCTGGCGCCTGACATAACTTTTGAAAGCGACCTCCGTACGGAGTACCATGTCCTGTATGCAGGGAATATTGGGCGAGGCTACCAGGATGGGCAGATTGTGTACTGTAATAAGACAGCCCATGGTCCGGTCAAGCCCGCTAAAAGTATTACCTGTAGGCTGTGGAGAGCAAGGCTGGGCTGGTCAGACTCGCTAATTGGAAACCACTGGACGCTGATTGGGCGCAGTCTAGCGGGTGATCGCGAGGCACACCTGAGCAATGTAAGAATACCTACCTACTTAGGTAGCTTTGTCGTTAGCTTCCAAGTAACACAAGGGCTAGAGCATATGAGGCTTGCAAGCTCCTGGAGCGGGGAATGAGTGCGAGCTCTTGATTCCAGCTCGACTGTATGATTTCCCATTGCTCTACACGACTCATTTCTCAGGCCTTTAACAAGCTTGCTATCTAAAACATACAAAGCTCCTCGGCTCAGGAAAAACAAGACAAAATAAAAACAATGTCGCGATACTTTCCGCACACAGCCTACGCAGAGGACCAGCCCCTCGCGCGAACCATTCTCACCACACACGTCGCCACGCGCGCCGTCACCGTCGGCACGCTCCTCGGCGTCGCCGCGACCAGCGCGCGCACCGTAATCCCCGCGCTACGACGACCCAAGATCGAGCAGCAGCAGCAGCAGCAGCAGCAGCCCTTTGCGGCGCGGCTGCTACGGTCCTGCGCGGGCAGCATCCTAGCCACGCTGGGCGTGGCGGGGGTCGGGCTTGTCGTCCGGATGTGGGGCCGAGACGACATTGAGTGGCGGGACCGTAGCTGGCGGCTGCTGGAGAGCAAGGGACAGCTGGAGACGGACGACTGGACATATGGCGGCATGGGCGCGGCGGCGGCGACGTCGGCGCTGGTGATGGTCAAGGCAAAGGCAAAGACGGGGGCGGGGGCGGGGGCGGGGGCGAGGAAGAAGACGCCGCCGCCGGCGGTGTTGGTGCTGGGGTGGAGGGGGCTGGTGGGCGCGGCGGGGTTGGGGAGCGTGGGCGGCATGATGGGGTATCTGGGATGGAGGTATGGAGTGAATGGGGGCAAGTTTCCGGAGAAGCTGCCGAGGAAGGAGGAGAGGATTGGGATGTAGTAGTAGAGAGGGTTGAAAAAGGGTCGGGCCCTTTGTAGATGGGAGTGACATATCTTTAGGGAAAGGGTTGCTCGCTGCTTGTTTTTGTAGTTTTACGATTCGTAAACAGTTGTATCAGTTTTTAAAAGATTGATCAGGTATTGTTCATAGTATAAAATATCATTGCTTCCATAAACGAGTCGTCACATTTCAAGATGTGTACAGGGTGGTGTTATTGAGCCCGTCCCCCGCCCCCCCCGGGCTACAGCTTGGCCTGCGGCTCTACCAAGTCTTCAATCTTTTGGAACCGATAAAAGAAGTCGAGGCTCTCTGGATTGAGCAGCGTGCCGCTCGGCTTGACCGTCTTGCCGCAGATGATTTTCTTGATGGGCAATTCCACCTTTTTGCCATTGACAGTCGTCTGTCCCAGCAGGGATTGATTAGCAAGAATGGGAAAAAAAAGAAGAAAAAGAAGAAAAGAAAAACCATGCACCTCTGAAGGGGAGGGAAGAAGAACAAAACATACCGGAATCTCGGGAATTTCAAAAATGTACTTTGGCACGTGCCTCTTTGTGAGAGCACGCGCAATCGTGGCACGCATATCCGCCACGAGGGCTCTGCTCAGGGCCCCCGGCGTCTTCATCAGCACAAACAGCACCACCTGCTCGTCAAGGTCCGTCGGCCTGCGCTGGCCGACGCAGAGGCTGTCGACGACGTGCGCGGCAAAGTGGCGCTCGAGGACGGCATATATATCGGCGCTGCCGAAGCGGATGCCGCTCGGGTTCAGCACGCCGTCGGAGCGGCCCTGCATGAGCACGGCGCCGGTCCGCGGGTGCACCTGGCAAAAGTCGCCCTGGGCCCAGACGTGGTTGAAGCGCTCATAGTAGGCGGCCTTGTACTTGGGGCCGGGAGGTGTGGCGCCGTCGCCGCCGTCGTTCCATAGGTAGAGCGGCGTGTTGGGAAAGGCGGCGGTGGCGACGAGGTCGCCCGAGGTGCCGGCGGGGACGGGCCGGCCGTCGGTGCCGTCGTCCATGTCGTGGTCGTAGACGGCAATGGGGACGCCGAGGGAGCCGCCCATGCATCCGCCGCGGTAGAGGGGCTTGAGAGGGTTCTCAATGACAAAGCAGCCAGCCTGGGAAGACGGGTTGTGAAAGAAGCATTAGAATGTGTCTGTGTTGGACATGTAACGAAAGCACAAGAAGGGAGAG